CCTGCAATGGCCAGATCGCCTGCCACGGCGGCAACCTCTGATTCTTCCCGGTCCATCTGGCCATCACCTCCAGCTTGACCCTTCATCCTGCGCCAGAACAACAGCGGGAGCTTGTCTTCCTTGACCACGTTGCCATCGGTATTTAGTTCAACACGGTAGAAGGTTCGGATGAAGATGAAAACTCCTGCCAGGCCCATCAAGATCGGGACGACCCAGAGGAGAATGAAAAGCACCAGTTGGGCCCATCCAGATCCGACGGGAAGCAGTTCATAGCGGAGGTTGGCATCATTGAGGGAGATGGTCCAGCCAAGGTGCGGGAACGGGGGCAACTCGGTGATGTTGATCACGTTCGAGGACAAGTAGGAGGGAGGCAAGACCTGTACAACTGATGAGTTGTCAACATCGCCATAAACGTTCGTCGTCTCCGGAACACCGTCCTTGCCAGTGCCCCAGACACTGATCTGTCCCACGGACGGCCATTCATAGACGAAATCATATTTCCAACGGCGATCCTTAGTATCAAACCGCATCTTGCTGTCCAGACCGGCATCATAACCGTATTGATTGTACGGGCCATTCCACCACAGGTGGGGAAATCTGCGAGGCACATCGGATTCCCAGTCATAATCACCTTCCTGGACATAATCACTGCTGCCAGTAAGGCGGGAGAAATACTGGACCCGAATGTGAGTGCCCTTCCATTTCTGGGCATCTGTGCCTGTCCAGGTCGGGAAGTCGATCGTCGTGTTGCCGCCAGTGTAGTCCGTCCAGTTCGACCAGTTCCGGCCAAAGTCGGTCGTGTAGCGGAACTGATCAGCGCCAGCCGCATCATGCTGAACATAGTAGCTGCCGTTATCCGACTTGTGCACCAGGCTGGTAGAGTAGTTGGCAAGCGGCGATATCAACGGGTTGGTGTGGGTTCCAACTCGGAATAAGAAGCGGTCGATGGCATCTACGCGCGTTCCAGACGTCGTGGAGGCATTCTTGACGGTGATCTGGTGGATTCCGTGATAGACATTGGTCAGGTTTGCGGACCAGGTCCAAACAGTGGGAATTTCGCCGATGTAGTTGTTACTGCTCGTCCTGGCCGTCACGTTGGTGCAGCTCACGCTGGACGTATCAAGGGAGGCATTGACGCCCTTGATGGTGGTCGAGTTCAGGGAAATTGCCTTTGTGATCGCACTACAGTCCATGGTCTTGGAATAGCCCAGCTGGATTTTCAGTGTTTCCCCAGTATCCTCGGAAGACAGCAGGCGTGCATCGTGACCGGGGACAAACTCGGTGACCGTAGGGCCAGGTTCAACGAAATCGCTAGCCTTGACGTAAGCCCGGAATTCCCATGGCAACAACTTCATTTTGGTGGTGCAGCCGTAGGACTCGGTGCCGTTGCTAGCGTCACTTGGTCCATCCTGCAGCGTGAGTTCATCGTAGGGATAGAAGAGGTTTTTCAACTTCGTTCCCGACTCGAAAGGAGACAGAAGAGCGGAGTCCTTGCTAGAACAATTCTGGCCATATGTTTCCGTTTTATTGGCATTGTGATATACCAGCCAGAGAGTATCGTTACTGGTCGAGGCCTCTTTCTGGACGCCGGGGTAGTAGCTGCGCAAGACCGACCAGAGACCAGTCACCGTCGGAGTAGTCGATGAACCCGGAAGATAGAGATCCTTGGTAAGCTGCGCAATGGTTTCAAGATTGAATCCATCATTTGCTACTGGGTATTGCTCTCGGATTTCGAACATGCGCTTCATAATGTTGCGAAGGGGGTGTGCTGGGTTCCGTTGATCGTAGGTAACAGTGATATCGTTGCAGCCATTCAATCCCTTGTCGTTGGGGAAGTCGTAGAATTTCGAGGTGTTCAGTGAGAAGCAACCATGCGTCCACCACGCCGTCTGATAAGTCATAGGCTGCCGACCGAACAAATAGTTGGAGGCAGTGGCATCGAAAACGTACATCTCCTGCTCCTCACCCCAGAGAATCAAAGGGATTCCCGGCAGCTCCAGCGTAACAATGTATAAGCCCAGTAGGTACTTCTCCGTACCATTCTTGATGGCTGGCCAGCGGAAGTTATCCTGGTTCGACACACCATACATATGTCTGGGATCCAACTCGCCCGTGAAGGCGTTGATGAAGTCGTTAGTGACGAGCATGCCATTCCAGGCTTCGATGAAATCGGTGGGCAGATCAAAGCCGGCCACCAGGTTCCCGTCCATTCCCAGGAAACGGGTCATCGATCGATAGATGGTGTAGTGAAAGGCCGCAGCGTCCAACGCTTGCAGACCATCATCACGGAGGAAGTAGGAATCCGACGAGGCATTCGTCAGCTTCGCGCCAGCATCCGCTGAATCAGGCGTCTGGTTTGGCTGACGACCCCGGCCAAGGTAAAGACTGCCAAAGGTGTTGCCCGAGGTGATCTCTCCCGGCAGGAAGAAGTTCTTCTTTCCGTATTGTTTGGCACATTCACGGTAGACCGCGAGCATGTCACCCAGCGGATCCAGAGTGGCTTGGACGGCTTTGTCAAACCGGAATCCATCAATATCCAAACTTGCGATCACGATGCAAGAATGGCGGGTGATGACATCGCGAACCGGCTTGTGCCATTCTCGAAGACGATCTTGCACCGAGGCGAATTTGGTGAGCTGTCGCTTCCAGTCGGGGAAATTACCAAAAGCCTCGAGTTCGCCATACTGATCGAAATCACTGTTGTAGCAACCCTCCAGGTCCTGCACACCACCGGAAGTCAACGGGTATCCCGTCTCGTTCCAGAACCTCGGGTAGTTGCACGTGTCGTTGTAGTCATTGCTGAACTGAAAATCAGCGTACTGTCTCTCGGTTACGTACTCCACCTCGTATTCTTTCGCATTGAAATCAGCCGAATCGTTCAAGTGGCCCTTGAAACCGATCAGGTTACTCAAACTGCACAGGAGATCGTTAGTGGCATGGTCGTCTGTAATACTCGGGGCATACTCACGTTGCCAATGTATTATCCATAATCACGTACATATCCCGGTCGTGGATCTCCTTGATGGTGCGCCTCCAGTCTGACAGGGTACCATGGTGCTTATCGAGGAGGGTGGTATCCACTGGGGAATAACCATCGTAGCCCCAGGGAAGGTTCATTAATCCCGTACCAGCGAAGTAGATTCCCTTGAACGGTCAGTCAGACGGAGATGACATGGTGTGTAGTAAAAGACTGATGAACTTACCTTGAATCCCATTCCTCGGATGTAATCGAGAGTATCAATCAAGCCGACTAGGTCACCGCCATGGCGCATCTGATTCGAATCGAGTACATGCTCGTAGGTGGTGCCGTTGATATCGTCGTTAGCGGGATCTCCGTTGGCTATGCGGTCCAGGAAGATGGTATAGATAGGGAAGCGCCAGTTGTCTGGTGACGGATGATAGGTGTGATTAGGCCATTCTCCCCAATAGTTTATCGGGCCCTCTGCGGTTTTATTCTCATTCAAGTTATAGTCAACGAGCGACTCATCGTAGGGCCAGCCCACGGTCGTGACGCTGAGTAGCCCCAGAATGAGCACCACGCAGCGCTGAACCGTCGTGCCGAACATGATGGCAAGCGGCGTGTGGTACCAGAAATTCTGTGCCAACCAAGGTCCAAAGGATTATGCAGGAACCCAATGCCACATGCCCGAAACTTCCGCACCGAGTATAGCGAGAGAAAGCAGCACAAAAAACGAATGACTTTGGGGTATGAAACGAGAGAAACGTGGGAGGGAAAGCTTTCCCAGGGGATGGTTGAAACGAGAGAAAAAAGAGGAAGACAGCGAATTGCTGCTGGGAGGGTTACTGCTGCTAATGCTACGAGAGACCAGAGACTAGACTACTCGATGACGAGAGACAAGCGCGGTGCTTAAGCCGTCGTGAGACCACTATCTAAAACCTTTCGCCCGCGGTGGGGTCGCCAGGCCCTGCGATCCAAGACACCTGTTCGGTCATTCTCTGCTCTGGGTGGCTATTATTAGGAAACGTCATATCAGGATAGCATGATTGGGTGAGGTGGAGGCGGGCCTCGTCAGTACACCCTCCGCCATTCGATAATAGTCAACAGCACTGGATGTGGAGGGTATAGGTGCGTGTGTGCTCAGTGCTGATGGTGGTGATCCCTGGACTTTACCGCTGGGGCAGCCGCCACTACTGCAGTCACTGAGAGATGATCAGTGTGACCGACACTCAGAGCGCTAATCTCGATCATCCTAATTTTTAATTTCAGTAAGAACGAAGATGTTCTTGTTCTGTTCTTGTTCCTGTGCCTGTGCCTGTCTGACCGACAACAGTATATCCGTGGAATCCCATCAGTAATTGCCAAGGTACAAAAAAAATCTGATGTCGGGCCAGCAAATGGGGCGAACATTGGTCGTTGTGTTTCGGCACAACCAGGGTTTTCTTTTTTCTATTTTCTTTTTTCTTTTTTTCTCTCTTACCATTTGCCTTCGCGCAGATTCTATGGTTGGAACCAGGCGCGGCTCGGTGGAGATCCGAAACCATCTGGACTTTGCTTATAAACACTGTGAGTGGGCATGTCCCGGATTCCATCCCCACTTCTATGGCCCACGTACCCTCCAGCGAGTCGCCAGATCCTGTTATTGTGTTATCTCAGCGGACAATTCGCAGTCAGAGGGCAAGGACCCTGTCCCATGCCTCACACCTGGCCAATGGGCATTTCACGGCGCCATGCCTTGTCCTGCCGACCCCGGTTCGGCTGCATCGCCACTGGCCCCGTCGGGATATCGGACAACACTTCATCTAGGGTTTCTAACTGGGCGGCCAGTCTGGCCGTTATCAGCCCAAGAAACGCCTCATAAATCGCATACAGCGTCAGACGTCATGGAACCTATCAGAGTGTTTCGGTCTGCTTCGGGATTGCCCCGTCGTCGTTGAAGGAGGGGCAACCAGGCACATTCTGAATCCACTCAGACACTGACACAGTCCGGGTCGCAGAATGAGTGCCAGACCATCCTCCTGTCCTTGGCCCTTACCAGACAATGTCCCGATTGAGTTTCTGTGGTTCCAGCCCAGGTTCCATCCCGGCTTCAGAAATGCTTCGCGATTCTTCGATTCTTTCACACAGAAAGCTTGTTGCAAAACTGTGGCTACGCAACAATCCACTGATGAGCCACGGTCGCAGATGTGCCCCTCAACCAGTGCATGATGCTGACATGCCGCACATTGCCAGGCACACCCCAACAAGAGAGTCAGTCAGTCTGGTTGGCGACCTTGGACGCGTACGCGACGAGGTGGCCTTCCTGAAGATCAGCGATCTCGCGGTGATGTTGTTGGCTGAAGAGAAAATGCTAGATCTCAGCGCGGGACGGGCAGTGACCCGATCAAAGCCCACCAGGATCTTCACAACCCTTACTACGATGGGTAGTGTTCTTCTATTTTCATGACAATCCTTTAATAACATTGCCGCCGAAGCGAAGTTGACTGACTCTGTAGTTCATGCGAGTTAATTCCGGCAACTCAGTTACCATTCATGGCCTGAGATCAACAAACACCATCGTTTGTCTCACCGGGGGGTTTTGAAGTGAGCAGAAGCAATATGTTCTCCCGCGATAGAGCTATATATAGAACACTAACCGCCGCCATTACGTAGGCAGAAGCAGTCGACTGCTTCACTTGGTCGCAGACTTGAATCAGACGCTAACATTCACCGCTGCCGTTCAGACATGGAGTATCTGCCATAGATCAACTTGTTGGTTACCACACGTCGTCCATCCCGCCATCGTGCATCGGCCCCAAAAAGCATGATCTTGCGAGCTACCATTCTAACGAATTTTTTCTCGCTTGAAGACTGCTGTGTTGTACTGCATATGCAGCAGGTACATTGGTGTTGGGGGACAAAAACAAAGCAACTGAAGGGGGAAAATAACAGGTGAGAATAAGCAGGTAATCCTATACGCAAGTACGTGGTACGTCGCACACCGTACCTGCAGGCTAAGAAAACCCAATGCCACATGTGCACAGCGGGAGAAAAAAAAATTCAATTCCTGGCTGCTGCTTGCATGCGCAGATTTTTCCATCCAGTCGCCTAAACTGACTACATCGCTGAACATCTTGTCGGCGTCGGATTGCTCCGTGAATGTACGGTCGGATTACACGCAGCTGGGGGTTCGAAGACTCCATCGATCAGAAGAACGAAGATTTGGATATCTCTGGTAGAATTGGGGCGAGATAATCTCGGCAGGGGTCAAATCCAATAGCATAAACTTGTTTATCATTGGGGCCAGACCGGGTTCCTGCTGCTGTCATCCTGATGTTGAATGAACCGTCTCACCAGGGACATCGAGTCACTCTTGGCGATATGCTCACTCATTCACACAGCCCCAGATCCTGCTGAAGAGGATGAAGCCCAGAGGTCGGTTCTATGAGTCTTTTCCAATTACCAGTGTATGGAAAGTTCTAGGCTCTCCGAGAAACTTGACAGCGAAATGATTACTGGGGCCAATCTGTGTTGTCATTCCCGTAACTGACGGTATAAAGCATGCTGTGTGATTGATAAAGTGGCGAGACGTGATCGATCATTCATCAGGATCAATTCTCACCTCCATCTCCTGACATCAGCACGGGTGATCTAGGTGATCTATCCAGCTTTCCGCTGAGTCCCGCTCCGAGTGCTAATCCAGCCCGCTCCCGAGAGTAACGAGCACCACGAATCGCGGTCGATCGCATTTGGTCCGGAACGCTCACAATGAAATCTCCTAGGTGCGTTTTGGCGGCGATCGGTATATGCACCGGCAGGTTACCTGCTAGACTGTGATATGCATCAGTGGTCAGTTTATCCAAATGCCTATGTCAACAACAGAAGGCGTCCAGAATGACTGCCTCGTTTACGCGCCAAAAGCAAAACTCGAACTAGCTGATCTTTTATGATTGATTCGGCTGATTTTCGAACCTCGTTATGATAAAAGGTTTTCTATGGCTTGCACTAATTAATAAATTTAGCTGTAGCTTTAACACGAGCTCTTTGGGCATTGAGGGCTTCACTGAAGAGACGGAATCGTGAGTACAAAAGTAGTATATAGAAAATTCCAATCACTTTTCGATGGGATTATTGCGAGAGATATGAGCCTAAACATCTGATCACTTGGTTGGGAGGCAGATTCCAAAGGCTAACAAATGCGACCGGCCCAAGTTCCAAATTCTCACCCTAAATGTATACTAGGCGAAGACTCATCTTCAACACCTCCACAATTGAAGCCTACACCACGTCGCGAGCAATGTATGGTATGCCACTCAATATGTCAGTAATAGTAAAAGGATGGCCTGTAAGCTGTCACTTGGGCCCACTAGCTTCTGCGATAATGATGGTGTGGGCACGATTCGATATGCCTAGACATTGCTGTGTTGACGGCTCTGAGACTAGTACATGATGCCTCTATTCATGAAGTCATGGAGTGAAACGCGAAAGTGAGTATTATGAAACAATTCTTCTGCTATAGAGTATAAGAGCTCCTACAGCCACCAAACACTCGAGTCGCTTGGATGGTGCTCTTCAGGGGATTCGGAGAGTACTAGTTATATATATTGACATCCGGCAGTACAACTTATCTACTAAGTAGTCCGTCGGTACATGGGTGCACCGACTACTTTGCAATGTATGAACGAACTACCAGTATAAGCCCTGGCAGATGTGCTCCCACGCTTATTCAACTATCATATCGGACAATTCCATGGGTTGCTGCCAGTCGATCAGTGTCCACCGGAGAGATCTCATCGAACATCATGATGCTCTGCTAGGACCCACATCAACCCGGGATGAGATGATCTTATTGGCGGTACAGGCAGCCTCAGGCTACTCCAAAAGCACAACACTGCATAGTTGGACTTACTAAGTACTTACCTATTTAATGTTTGTGTATATAATGGTCCTATGAATTCGTTGACACCCAATCAGAATTGCAGGTAGGGTGTTTGTACACATTCATCGCCAGTGTTATGCAGTTACTAACAGTCTTTACACTGGTTACACGCAGTTCGATGAACTTATTCGGCTTGTGTTCACCTTCATTATCTACGCTGTCTAGTGATTGTGTCCCTACTTATTACTGTAGCAGTACAAGCACTCAATAATGAGGAATCCTCGGTCGCTCCCCACTGGTACGAGAAAATCCCACACACCAGTACCAGAACAAACAACATGATTGCTGGGATAACCACCACAACAAATCTATCCACACATCATTTTGATGTGTTTTTTTTGGTGACCGATAAGCCGGAAGCTTAAAGAAAGATCCGGCCCTTCCCCCCACCTCGGGAAGCTTAGGATAGCCGAAGTAGCCAACTGGCGTTGCGATGTTACTTATTATTAGTACTTATTAGGCTTTCAGGAGAATAATGGCGGTCGCGTGATTTGGGGCTGACTCCATAAACTCTCTTTCTTCCCCGCGAAAACACCAACTCCGGCCTGCAATTCTCTATCCCCTTCTCCAATCCCCATTCTCTCACACTACTCTGGGTGGCGTACCTTCGCGCCCCTTCCAGTCATGCTGGACTTCTACACGTTGGCGGTGCTCGGCCTCCTGGCCGTCTTCGGATACGCCTTCAGCCGTCGCGAGAAGCCCGACCCGCGCGAACCACCATTGGTGCGCAGCAGTATTCCCGTGGTCGGCCATCTGCTGTGTTTCTTGTGGTATGGCTTATCATACTTTACCATGCTAACGTGAGTTTTCGAGCCCCTACAAACTCAGTGATTGGGAGCCAGACGACGGACCTTCTAACGCGCCGTAGCGAGAAACATGCCTTACCCATTTTCGGCCTCAATATGGTCTTCACCAAGAGCTACCTGGTGACCTCGCCTAGCATCCTGCTGTCCATCCAACGGAACAAAAAGTCCCTGAGCTTTGACCCGTTCATCAGCATGACGGCTGAGCGTATGGTCGGCATTCGTGGCCCGACGCTGGAGCTGATTCGCGAAAAGCAATCGGGCGGCCAGGGATTGACGCAGACCATCATCCATGCCATGCAGCCCACCCTGATAGGCGCGCCCTTGGATCGCATGAACGAGCGCATGACGCGCCTGCTACGACCCTTGGTGGATGAGCTGGCCAGCACCACCACCATCGACCTCTACGGCTGGTGTCGCCATGCCATCACGGTCGCCAGTACGAATGCCTCGTATGGACCACTGAACCCCTACAAGGATGCGAACATCGAGGAATCTTTCTGGTGAGTGACTAGTATTCTACGCGGAGTTGAGTGAATTATGGGACTGAGTCTACAAGGTCCTTTGAGTCGCACCTCAGTCCATTGATGGCCAACTTCCTCCCCTGGCTCACTGCGCGCACTGCGTGGCGGGGGCGCGAGGCGGTCGTGGCCGCCATGGTGCGTTACTACGAGCAAGGGGGGCATGAGGACGGATCGGACTTGACCCAGGCACGTTGGAAGACGATGCGAGAGGCCGGAATGCCCGTCGAGGATATTGCGCGGGAGGAGGTGGGCATGGGCATCGGGCTTCTCTCTAACACGGTCCCCGCCGCCTTCTGGGTGCTGTATGAGCTGTATTCCCGACCCGACCTGCTGGAGGAAATCCGGGAGGAGATTCGCACGAATGCGCTCCGCGTCGACGCCGACCAGCGACACATCGTCGATATCTCGGCTCTACGCGACAACTGCCCGCTCGTGGTCTCCAGCTTCCAGGAAATCCTACGTGTGCAGTCTGCATCCGCCCCGACCCGATTTGTCATGGAGGACGTGATGCTGGCGGATCAATATTTCCTCAAAGCGGGCAGCATGATCAACATGCCGGCCAAGACGTTGGGTCGCATGCCCGAGGCATGGGGAGAGACGGCGCTGGAGTTCGATGCGCGGCGGTACATCCGGTCGGAGGAGAAGAACCCGCGGCGCACGGCAGGCTTTATGACATTTGGAGTGTCCCCCGTCATTTGTCCCGGACGACACTTTGCCAGCTCGGAGATTCTCGGATTAGCCGCTCTGTTGGTGCTCCGATATGATATAGCGCCGGTGGATGGGCAGTGGCGCACGCCGCGGTTGAACTCGATGGCAGTCGCGTCGAACATGCGACCGCTCAAGGATAAGTTCCCAGTGACGGTGCGTCCACGCAGCGAATACGCGGGAGTGGAATGGGACTGTACGGTGCAGCCCGGTAGTGGAGTGTTTAACTTGATGGTGGGATAGGAGTAGTAGCTTGTATGATGTAGAATGGGATGAGTAACTGCCCATGAAAGTCTGCCATGGACCACGTGGCTAATTATACCTTATTTGTGTTTTTCCAAGAGAAAAAGTTCCGGTCGCTGCTGCAGTCGAAAGTGAAAGAAAGGTGATTGAGCACGTGGCCTGTGTAACCCCGAGTCATGCCCCGAATTGGGGTGCATCTGCATCGACCCATTTCATTGATTCTGATCGAGTCCAATCCGACCAAGAATACTACTGATCGCTATTATTACGTTGAGTCACCTCTGGTAGTACCACTTATTTTCATGATGAAGCATCCATGCATTTATTCATCCTAGCAGCAGCTGCGCCAGCTGCAGGATGCGCCAGAAAGGGCGGCACGTGGGCCCAAGCGCCGTCCTGATTAGAAGTTGATTAGAAGCCCCCATTTGAGCCCACGTGCCTGACAGACTGGCAGTTCTATCCCTGCCCCTGATTCCTTGACAAAGAGAATCAGTGAAGTCTCGGTCAATGAAATAAAATGTCATGGGCTCATGAACTATCTTCTGATAGTATCTGGCATAGGGTGTAAGGGGAAATGGCAGAAAACTTCGAAGTTACAGCATCCCAACTGTCTGCACTGCGACCGCTTATCGCGAATCAGCAGCGATGGCTCTATCGCGCCACCACCCCCTGTACCATCGAATGAGAGTGCGACCAGACGGCAGATTGGCTCGTTGCTCTGCACGCGCCCGATTGCCCTGCAACGAGCGTCCCTCCGAGCTGCGTATATTCCTCCCTACGGATTCCCCCCCTTACTCCGTACTTGGGGGGCCAACCGGCGACACCCAGTGAGCCCTGCACGTGGAGCGACGGTGTCAGTCGGGCTGGATCCATGGTGTCCCCACTTCAAGCTTTGAAGCAGAGAAGCTTGGTACCTACTCAGTAGTAGTAATCCTATCTAGGACTAGGTACTCCGTAGGTAGTAAGTAGACAAAGTGGCTCGGGGACACCGAACCACGAGTTCCTATCGTCGTCTGCCGGCGGGTCGTCTGTCTATCTCTCTTTCCGCTTACTGTGTAGCCAATATCATCCTCATGGTTTACGCTACCGGAGATAGGCTGAAAATGTCTGTCAAAGTGTCCCCATGCACCAGTGAGATACGAGGAACCTGGCCCATTCCCTCGTGCGCACGCCGTACTACCTCAGACTTGATCCTCTCCCCACCACTGAGATCCGCTTTGCATTTCACTGTCTTCCTTCAGCCCAGTTCCCTGCCGCGATGCTGGGGCAATTTCCTCGGACAAGCTTTGCCCGCTGCTGCAGGTCACCGACTCTATAAAGCCTCTCCCCCACCCACCGGTCGAGCGCCTTCCTGCTGTTGATTGTCGCCGCTGTTGGTAGGGTATCCCGTGGTCTCGTGCCCCGGCTGGCTAACGTTGCCCCTCCTGCTGCTTCCCCCTTGCTTTCTCTTCCTTTTCACATCCTCCATTTCTCCCAGTTAGATCTGTCTATCTGTCAGTTTTCGAGACTGCAATAAGTCTACACAATGATGGACCGCAGTGACGAGAAGACCAAGGAGCTGGTGGTGTCGCCGCACGGTGACCCTCACGTCGATGAGGATCCCTTGGCCGACACCGAGAAATCCTTCTGGGAGCGCAGTTGGCCTACCTTTGCCTGTGGTGCTGGTTTGTGGTCGGATGGATACTTGCAATATGTCAGTGACCTCTTCTCTTCTAATATGTCCCTTGAGGTTCAATCGCACTGACATAGGTTATGGCCGTCAGGTCATCGGTACCGTCAACACCATGCTCGACAAAATTTATCCCAAGATCTACGATGGCTCCACCTACAGTCAGAATGTCTCGTCCATCGCTTTTGCTGGAACTGTTGTTGGCATGCTCTTTTTTGGCTACCTCTCCGACCATTGGTCTCGATCCAACACCCTCATGGTCTCCACTGTCATCCTGTTCGTCTTTGGTGCTCTCTGTGCCGGTGCCTATGGCCATAATGGCAGCCTTCCCGGCATGTTCACGGCCTTGACTGTCTATCGCTTCTTCTTGGGTCTGGGCGTTGGAGGTGAATACCCTGCTGGTTCCGTCGCCGCCGCTGAGAGCAGTGGTGAACTGGCCGAGGGCACCCGACACCGCTGGTTCATTCTCTTCACCAACTTCCAGCTGGATTTGGCCTCTGTCGCCTCATCGCTCGTGCCCATGATTGTCGTACTCGCTACCGGAGAGAACCATCTCCGCGCTGCCTGGCGTATCTGCCTGGGTCTTGGTGTTATTCCGCCGCTCAGTCTGATCTACCTGCGGATGAAGCTGAAGGAGCCCGCCGAGTACACCCGCGAGAAGATGAACAAGTTTCCCGTCTGGCTTATTGTCAAGTAAGCCTCAGCCCCCTCCCCCAGATGAGACCAGAACATAACTAACCCGATATCAACAGATTCTACTGGAAGCGTTGGGTAAGCCCGCCAACAACTTCAAGCAAACCTTACCATTTCGAATGCGCTAACTCGTCCAGTGTGTCGTATCCTTGATCTGGTTCATCTACGACTTCTCCACCTACTCCTTCAGTATTTACTCATCCGCCTGGTTGGCCGATATCATCGGCGATAGCGCGCCCATGTGGCAGACACTCGGCTGGAACACCCTGATCAACGTCTTCTACCTGCCCGGATCTGCTCTGGGCGCATTCCTGAGCGATTGGTACGGTCCGCGCAACACACTAGCATTCGGAGTGTTCGTCCAGGGAGCCATCGGCCTGATCATGACCGGATGCTACCCCTACCTGGATACGCCTCACTACGTGGCCGCCTTTGTCGTTGTCTACGGGTGAGTTCATCCCCGATTCCCGTTTGTCCCACTTCGCACTAACCACTCGGATGACAGTATCTTCCTCGCCATGGGCGAAGTCGGCCCCGGCGACAACATCGGTCTCTGTGCAGCCAAGACCTGCGCGACACCCATTCGCGGTCAGTACTACGGCACCGCAGCCGCCATGGGAAAGATTGGCGCGTTCGTGGGCACATACGTCTTCCCCGTGATTGTCAAGAACGCCCCGAACAAGATCCGCCAGGGCCAGGATCCGTTCTACGTGTCTAGTGCCCTGTGTATCTTTAGTGCGTTTTTGGCGTTCTTTTGCTTGCCTCATATTGGTCAGGTAAGTGACCTATCAATTTGCTCCGATTGACGATAGGTGACAGTGCTAACTAATCATAGGACACCATCACGCACGAGGATGCTCGCTTCCGCGCTTATCTCGAGTCCCACGGGTACGACACATCCAGCATGGGCACGGGAGGCGGCGAGAGGCAGAGGACGCAGTAAAGTATGCATTCGACGAGTTGAACGAGCCATGTATCCTATTCTATTTTGATTCGACGAAAAGTGTATTCTTGATCATGAGCATACTAGTTACGGTACACAATTTAATGCCCTTTACGGAGATATAATGTGTACGCGATCGCAATACACGTACAACCCACCGCAGTGTGGATAATTCCATAACATAAAAACTAGTGCATATCAGCAAGCTGGAAGGAAATGTGCTAGCTAATGTCACATGTCAGAAGATAAAAGTGACCAGAACCGGTAAGTTGCTATGTTATCATGGATCGTGCATACCGGACACCAGACCCCCGACCCCCGACCCACAAATCCGGCCCATTATCTCTGCGTCAAATAGATAACCCTAGATAACAACCTCCCAAGTAACGCCTGCTCTTGCAGCCCAGGATTCCACGCTAACCATCCTGCAGGAAGATACTAGACTTCTACCAGCTTGCCTGCCACCACCGGCCGTACGTTGGATCTCCGGACACCCGGCAGCCGGGGATACGATAGATTTCACCGTCGTCTACGTAGTAACTTGTATCTGAAAAGCTTATCTTTATGAGCATGTCAACCATAAGGTGATTAATGTATGCTGCGGAGGTCCGACAGAGAATGGTCACTCGAGCGTACTGTCTATCTCCTAGTTTAGTTATCATCGCTAGTCTCGACTGATTCGTATGATAAATTCATTTACACACGGAGGGGAGTCTATCTCCGATCCTAGTTTGGGTATAGATGTCTACAGGCTGGATCCCTAAGGATATCTATCTTGCTTGGTCAGTTCGAGAACAGCCAAGGGGCTTGTATTTGGGAGATAAGGTAAATCCTAAGCTATCTATCTATCTATCTAGTATCTGCTTATGATGGCAGAAACTTGTAGCGGAGGAGAGTTGAAAGGTGATAGTTCCGAGTGAAGTACCACTACACACGCACACACCCTAGCTCTGATAGTAACCAGTAAGCTAGCATACTGACCAGCATGTTGGCACTCATTTCAGACGTAGCTGGTTCACCCAATCCTGGAAGGAAAGGCCGGTTCGCGCAACGTTATAAGCAGCCGTATCCTGATTATGTGGCGGGCCCCAGGTGTATGTCTCATCTTCAATTTCCAGTACGTTACTCTTAAACATAACGGCCTGCAATACAAGGAAGTGCAAGGACAGCTTATCGCGGAAACATTCCAAAGCATGCTGCCAACGGTGCTTGGTCTCCCATGGGGTGTCTTCTTGGGGCAAAGGGCCGTACGGATCGTCAGGCTGGGCTAGACTGACCCCTTTTAAAATCAGGTCGGTCAAGGTAGGCGAGACAGCACGAAGAAATTCCATCAGGGCTTCCGGCGGGGCCACCAGATTCTGCAAACGGACTTCGCGCAGACGCGGAAACTGTATTCCCGGGAAGATCCCGAGAATGGGGAAAGTTGTAGGGGGGTAAGACGCGTTGATGGAGTCGAATTGATACCGTAGTACCTCGAGAGTCGGGCCAACGGCTGTCAACAGCTCACGGGGACGTTCTGGATGGTCGCCCTCCTGTGTTCCCTCCAGACAAAGGTGTAACTTCAACAAGCCTTTCATGAGGGAAACAAAGGATGTCCATTCTTTTTGAGTCAGCTTCAGCCTGGCAAGCGCCACGCCGTAGCATGGTTTACCACATGTCGATAGATTCTCCACTTTCCGACCACCGCCAATTAGGGCCCTTACAAGAACGCAGAAAGCTCGATCCTGCTCTCTGGAGATCCAATCGTGCCGGCGGAATTCCTGGGGAAATTTGGGGGGAAAGCCGAGGTCGTCTGTTAGACTGCGCCAGCCTAGACATATCGAGTTACGACTTCCTTCGGCAGGGCGATATCGTAACCCGACTGTAGTTAAGTTGACAAGACGGCCCATGCAGTGTCGGAGAACGCGGATGGCAGTCGGCGACTTCAGTATGCGTCGATGATCTTTCATGACGAAGTGAAAATCCTGATAGTATTGCGAGACATGGGCTGAAGCTGAGTACTCCTCCTCAGGCTGCTGCTGTCGCTGTTTCTTCAAGGCCAATTGAATACAGTCCCAATATGCGAAACCATAGGAATGCATTTCATATTCACCATTGAATAGCTCCGGGACAAGTCTGAGCTCTTCGACATGTTGACGAATACCCTCGTGCATGGAAAGCTCATAGAGTTGGCACAGTCCGCCGGAGGTGCACAAGACGGAGATGCTGCGGAAGACGCGTCGAAACGAATTGAGAGTGATGTTGTAGAGCGACCGACAAGTCAGTCGAAGCGCACACCAGGCTGGTAGCTGTAGATAGGTGCAGATTTTCCTCACCAACTCAATGGGAAGACAGGCGATGGACATGTTAAGAGAGAGAGAGTTTCGATGTGTTGATATTACCAGGCTGTTTGGGAACGCAGAGCGCGTCTATATGTTGTCGAGGCATTCATTCATTCATTCATTCATTCATTCACTGTCGCCAGGCACCTACCTCTGCTGCCTACCGTGGCTGAATCTATCATCAACCCCATTGGGCGGATCAATTTAATCAAGTTCAATGTACATGCATGGATTAAATACATCCCTCCCCTGGTCTCCCGTTGTCTTGAGAATAAGAATTCTGTTAGGGGTCACCGACAATGCTGTATAGTTGAGGGTTTACGGGACCAGCAGCGACCAGTCTGGATGGGCGATGAGTTTGTTGGAGAGTTTGTTGGTGAACACATTGTAATTAACCTTGGACAGCGGGCCGGGCCACGACCATAGCCAGGGAACCTCCATGGAAAGGAACTTAAAATGGAAATGTATAGAGATCTCACTTGTTTGTACTTGATCAATCTGGATCCAAAATGTCGATCCGGGGCCACGGAAAGAATTCGTCAGAAGGATGAAGAAGAGGAACAGTTGGGGCAGTGGATCCCTTGCCGATCGATCCCTTTTCCCTCCCACCAACCCGGGCGGTGGGTGATCCGTGCACTGGGCGAGTCAGTCATCATCCATCCATCCATCTCCTCCCCGCCAGACTGAAGCTATTCGGACAGGGATAATAATCCTCTTTCCCTTCAATACCAACTAAACCAGCAACTTACTTTTAAACGAAAGAAATATGGCATCTACCACCTCCCCCCTCCGCCTCGAGCCCGCCACTCTCGAGGACCTCCCCGCCCTCACCGACCTCTGGTACAATGCCTTCACCACCGAATCCATGCTGACCATCTGGCCCGACACCCCGGGCGTGCGACAATGGTGGCACGAAGCCAACGAGCACGACATGCGACACAAACCCGCAGAGAAATTCCTCAAGGTCGTCGACACCTCCCAGAATAACCGCATCGTCGCCTACGCCAAATGGTCTCTGCAGACGGCGGAAGAACGTGGTGCTCGCTGGCCGGCCTGGCATCCAGATATGGATCCGGTGCATAATGATGCCTTTGTCAAGCAGCTGGAGACCTTCCGGGCTGCGTTGGTGGGTGGGGGGAGGCCGAATTATTGTATGTTCATGTTCTCATCTACATAGCTTTGGGGAAGGGTTGGTGTGGGGTGGGATTGCTAATGGATGTGGTAGATCTCGATATGCTGGCGACTCACACCGATTACCGACGGATGGGTGCCGCTCGTCTGCTTCTGGAATGGGGCTGTCGCGCTGCGGACCAGGCAGGCGTGCCGGTTTATATTGATGCCAGTAAGGCGGGCAAGCCCGTCTATGAGCGGTTTGGCTTCGAGGATCGTAGCCATGTCTTTGGGGATACGGGTGCCTTGGCGCCTATGGTGCGGGATCCACCGAAGAAGGATGCTTGAGGTGAGATAGTGCAGAGGACGTGGTAGAGGAGTATATATATATATATATTTCTGGTTTGAACACGGAAGAAGGATATATTTATAGTATAGAACCAAGGCCCGCCATTGAAACTGGTGGCCAAACCCCTACCCAATAGATACAATAGATCAAGTACTTCAGCCACGCTAATAACAAGAACCTAAAGTGTGCACAACAACCTCTATATAAATGACCACTGGCAATCCTCATCTATATCTTAGCGGGTCTCCGGACCAGAGCATTCGTCAAGGTCAAGAGACTGTCTCGCTCCTGCGCCGTAAACTCCCGACGACCAGGGCCACCCCGACTGCCATCGCCGCCGCCGCGAGCACTGGCCCCGGTGAACAAGTCATCTTGCGCCCGCGACCGGTAGTCGGTGTGGAACTTCCACCGTTCCGCCAGGTCGGCGGGCAGTTGGCCCAGGAAGGCCTTGGCAATGTATTCGCCGATCACCGGAAGGAATTTGTATGCACTAGTACCTCGTTAGTATCATAGTTGACGCCCATAGCTTTTGTGGGGAATACTCACTGTCCAGTGCCGCCGGTCGCAACAAAGACATTTTGGTGTTCGGGATGGCGGTCAAAGATGAAATCGCCCGTCGGGGTCTCGTTGTACCAGCAGAGACATGTCTTCTCAAAGCCCCGCGACACCAACTCGGGTAAGATCTCACCCAGACCAGCCAGCAATCGTTGACGGCCTTCCTCCGGGATGAAGTTGGCACGCTGTGAGATGGCTTCGCTGGGTGGAGAGGATACGTTGGACGAGGACAAGGTGTAGCCGAAACTGTGACAAGCCACCTTCAAGTATCCGGTCTGCTCATGAGGTGGGAAGCTGAAGAATCCCGTAGACAGATTGAAGATGATGGGGAGATCCTTCAGACGCTTCACCTCCTCCGGGGTAAGCCGCACGAACCCGACGATCTGTGCGGTGGCCACCATGGTGTTCCATGAGGGCACCAGACTGGCCGTCCATGCTCCCGTCGCCAGAATGAACTGATCGGCGGTGATGCGTCCGCCATCGACGGTTCGCACGGCGGTCACTCCGCCATCCGACCCTTTCTCCAAGCTCGTTACATGTCCATGGCGACCGGTGACAAAGGAGACGCCCGCGCGGATGCAGCGATCGCGCAGGCCGGTAATGGCGAGGCCGGCATCGGCCCAGCCCGCGGCGTTGTTGTAGAATCCCTCGAAGCCTGCTCCGATGGGAGTGCCCGACACTGTGGGAAAACGGTCTTTCAAGGCGGTCACATTGTCAAGGTTGTGCCATTCGCAACCCATATCCGTGAGGATCTTCTTGGTCTTGCGAATGAAGTCGGATCCGCCCGCCGAGACGAGGTCGGCAGGCCCTGACTGCTGTGCCGTCCAGACACAGGGGGTGCGATGGAAGGAGTCCGCATAGTCGGGACTGGTATTCCAAAGCTCGTAGGCATCACGGCCCATCTTCGCATAGACGGGATCGCCATAGTCGAAGCGAATAACGCGCGAGATGTCATTGCTCGATCCATCGGGGACGGGCGGCATGGACCGATCCATCACCGTGATGGAGGAGAAGCCATCTTCGGCCAGGTACAGGGCTGTGGAGAGGCCAAAGACGCCGGCTCCCACGATCACGATGGACTGTGTCTTGTCCATGACTATACTAACAAGAGAATATCTAGGAATCAGAATATAGTGTCATGGGACTACCTCCCCCCAGGCCAGACCCCAGATTCTTAATGTGTTTGAGAACAGGCATTGGTCGGTTGTTTTGCCCCGGCTGGGAACCGGGAACCGAACCGAGTCCGTCTTGGCTTGCGCCTGCAGCAGTTGGATTCCTTCTCGTTTGGGTGAAGGAATCCGTGGATGTGGGGGGGATTAGCTTGAAGCGATGAATGGCAATGGAGAGGCTAACCGTGGACCGGTTCCGTAGTGGAGAACTGATCATGCACTCCAAGTGGACAAACTGCACTGGTGAACTGGCAGCTCCTCGGCCGGCTGACAGCTCAAGCTTTCCCTAGACCGGAAAACATTCAGTCGACAAGATCAAGGTGAACTAATAATAATCTTGCTGTAGGGAAGATCTGGGGCTTGACTTCCCAATCGGGCTATGCATGTAAGGGGGGGCTTTGTTTGTGCCCTCCATCACGGAGCATGAGTTTCATCTGTCCGGGTCAAAGCTCTCTTATCGCTCCGTATCTGATTGCCAGCCGGCGGATCGGTCAAAGGTCCCTTCTACCGGCCGTGTCTATCTCCAGAGAACATACCTCTGTATCAGCACCATGATAGCGTTGTGAGCTGGGATAGGGCTGGATGCTAGTCCCATGCATTGACCAGACGAGGAACCACGGCTGCCATCGCCGCCACGAGGCGTTCCGGTGCCAGAGAATCCAGGCTCCGTCCCCGACCTCCTGATCGCTTTGGAGCCGGTGGACGGCTATGGAGCCGCTGTGAGAGAAGAAGCGGATGGATTGGAATGAAGCAAGATGATAGAGATAACCAAATATCCAACTGGTTATAAAGACAGTATCTCATCTCGTCCTCAAGTCTGGTAGAACAACAACAACAACGACCAAGATCCATCTCCACTCAAGAGCCTCTTTCCAGACTCTCACAAAAACATTCAAAAACCAATATTTTATACTTCACCTCTGGTCTAATACCATGGCCTCCGCATTGTGGAACTACCTGGGTCTCCGCGAGACCCCCACTGCCCCTACCAATGAGGCCGTGCGAGCCCTGCCAGCTTCGTGGTACACCTCGCAGGAGATGTTCGAGCTGGAGCGACGCGCCATCTTCTCCCGCAAATGGCTGCTGACCACTCACAAGCTGCGTCTCCCCAACACTGGAGACTGGCTGCAGTACGAGGTGTCCGGCTTCAACTTTGTCCTGGTGCGCGACAAGGAGGGCAACATCAACGCCTTCCACAACGTCTGCCGCCACCGCGCTTTCCCCTTGGTGACCGAGGAGAAGGGATCCGCCCGCATCTTCGCCTGCAAGTACCATGGCTGGTCCTACGGCCTCAATGGCAAGCTGGCCAAGGCCCCCGGCTACCAGGACCTCGACGGCTTCGACAAGAGCAAGAACAGCCTCCTCCCCATCCACGTGCACCTCGACGCCAACGGCTTCATCTGGGTCAACCTGGATGCCGGTGAACAGCCCGAGATCTCGTGGGACGATGACTTCAAGGGCATCGATCTGCAGTCCCGCTTTGCCGATGTCAAGTGGGAGGACTACACCTTTGACCACACCTGGGAGCAGGAGGGCGACTACAACTGGAAGATCCTGGCCGACAACTACAACGAATGCTACCACTGCGCGACTACGCACCCCGACATCCCCGCCCTGGCCGACTTGGCCACCTATTCGGTCGACACCAAGGATGGCGGCATCATCCACGACGCCCACTCCAAGCCCGACCAGATCGCGGCAGGGCTCCGCATTGCTAGCACATACTACTTCCCCAATGCCTCCATGACCGTCTCGTAAGTGTGCCTCTGTCTAATAACCCCCACCAGTTCCAATCCTAACCATTTATCTGCAGACCACACTTTTTCTTCATGCAGCGCTTCGTCCCGCTCTCCCCCACCCGGTCGGTGATGAAGTACGAGGTGTACCGCAACAAGAACTCGAGCGACGAGGACTTTGAGCTGATCAACACCATGTACAAGCGCATCATGTCCGAGGACAAGTACCTCTGCGATCTGACCCAGAAGAACCTGAATGCCGGAGTGTTTGTGAACGGCGAGCTGCACCCGAAGATGGAGAAGGGCCCCTTGTATTTCCAGAAGGTGGTGCGCGACGTGGTGACGGAGCACTTCCAGCGCGAGGAGAAGGAGGGACAGGAGTACTGGCCCGCCCGTCAGCGGGTGCCCAAGGAGGCGGCGACGAGTGCGCAGGACATGCAGTTCTGCGCCAACCTGGGGTGTGGGGCGGGTAAGGAATGCTGCTCGAATATCGGAGCGCAGCCACCGGCGGCAGTCGCCTGGTGAGGGAAAAATGTTTATGAAGGGGATCGGCAATTGGGACAGAAGAGAGAGTTGTGCTATGATTCATCTTGACGAGTTTGACACATTGTTTTCGGCAAATCAGGTTAGCGATCTTTGTTTGGATTTGAGATATTGTACCGAATTAGAATAGTTTCTTATTTTAGCATGCTTCCCATTTTTAATGACGTTCAAGTGAATCATGTTGCATTTATTTCTGTCGCGTATTGCGACTAGATAAGTAAAACGGGGTTATCAAGAAGGCGAAGAGCGGGATAAAATGGAAGGGGAGGAGATAGATAGTAGAAGAGAGGAGCAGGATGGCCAAGACGGGAAAAGCAGCCAGAAGAGGAAAGGGAACTAGACTAGACCACGTGCGCTCACCTGACCGGTGGGAAAATCACCGGACTTTTCTTTCTTTCTCTAAGACCATCCAGGATACAACCAAGTACTGGGACAAAGAAAAGTTAAAGTTTTTTTGATGATGTTAGTCAGATTGTCCAGTCCCAGTCCTTTTTTATTTTTGCTTCCCACGCCTGGTCTGGAATGTTCAAACCTTCAATCCCCTGCAAGTAGCCAGACGCACCAAAACTTGGACAGGGTGACGGGTCATGGCGGGGATTCCCAGGGATTCCCAAGGACTGACGGGGGCCAGCTGACCACTGGCCCTGGAGAGAAAGTGTATTGGGTGAAATTATGCGAGGGTGGCCATGAGTTCGGAGCTGCTACTACTGTAGTACTATGAATAGCCCTCCCATACGTGAATAGTAGACCAGACTCGGCTTATCTCTCCCATCGACACACACCGGGAGATACGTTGATTGTCAACGTTGTCTGGCTGGGACCCTCCGGGGAGAGCGGCAGATCCACCTTTTGGCGCTGCTGGTCCCTCCCTCCATCCATCCAGGAATAGCCGATAGTAATCTGGTACCACTAAATACCACTACTAGATAGCAGATAACCCTCAGTTCCCCCAACTTCTAGTATGTAACCAAGCAGTGACAGTTCCCAGGTTCCAACTGCCAACCTACTTAGTACTTACATACTTACTAGTACATACCCTCTTCCTTTTTTTTGCCCCTCCTTGCGCCCTGCATCTATTCATATTATTATTGGTTGTTGCTTATCCCCCAAACCCTCCGCGTACTTGTAAGTAGATAGTAGTGGACACCCTAATATTAGTGGTGGTGGTACTTACTAGTAGTATATGCCCGCGCGCCAACTCTCGTCCCTCGTTCCTTCCTTTTCTAATCCGAATCCCCTCCTCCGTTTCCCCTCCTTCTCCCTCCCCTCTTTTGTTCCCGCGGGCATCGCGTCCCGTACTCATTCCCCTCCTCTCCCAGCTGCTCTTTTATCATCATCTCCTTGACTCATCCTGGGAAAAATAACATGACGCCACCAGAAGGACAGCGTCGGAGATTACGGTCAAATCATGCTTGTTTAAATTGCAGGTGCGAAGAGTCCAAAGAGTCTCCTATCTATGTGTCGAGAAAAGCCACTCACCAGCGTTGACAGAAGGAAGAAAACGCGCTGTCCGGGCGAGAAACCGGCCTGCTCATGCTGTGTGCGGCTTAACCAGCCGTGCTCGTATACGCCCGTCACGAGGACGTCAATAGGCAGTCCTTCCGTGGGTGCTCCCGACCTTTCCTCGATTTCGCGGTTGCTGATGCTCCACCTCAGAAAGATCGGCTGGCAGAGCTGGAAGAAAAGGTCAATCTCATTCTAAACGGCAATATGTAGGTCTCTCTCTCTCCTCGCGAGATTGTCCGCAGTACAATTAAGCTCACAGATTCTCGCAGACTAGCTCGATCGACAGGTCCCGAGACGAAGTTATCGCCACCATCCCCGAGACGCCGCGATTCTCACACCCCTTATCCGGTCCCATCGGGGCTGGGCGAGGGCACTACCCCTCACTCTTCACCCTCGGTCATCGCCAGAGCGATTAATCTCTACGTGGAGCACTGTCACCGGCAGCCGGTGTGGTGTTTCGACTTCGATGGGCCAGGCGAGCCCGGCTCTCTCCCGGAGGAGCTGATTTGTAGTCTGTTGGCACTCACCTTGCGCTACTTACATGAGCAGGAGCAGGGCCAGCATTATGCCGACGATGCTAGGACTCTCATCATGCTGCGCATTGCCAATGGGACAGTGGAGCTGGCCACGATCGAAAGTTTGTGTCTGCTGTCCTATTCTTCTTTCATCGGTACGTCTACCCCCGGAATGGCCAAGCAGTGTAGAAAGAAATGATAACTAAATTGTATGTCCCATTGTCGCAGATGGCAATACACACCTCGGACAGTTCTACCTAGGCCTGGCGTCCCAGCTTTGTCGCGCGGCCATGCTAGATGTTGCGGTCGCCTATTCCACCGATGATCCACACATGGAGCGAAAGAAGCGGCTGTTCTGGAGTCTACAGTTGCTCGAGCAATCGTACGGCCGACAGACGGGCATCTTACGCACATCGACCGAGATCTGGCGCCCACCATATTTCGCGACGGATGGCGACCAGGACAGCCACAAGGCGACGGGGCCTCCGCCGCCACCCATGCCGCAGGACAGCGTGGGATGCACGAACCCCCACGATACAGGAATCTGGAACATGAGCAATCAATTCGGCTGGGTCTGGAGTAATGTCAGGGGCTATGTATCGGACTGTGCGCGCAGCAAAATGAAGGAGCCCTGGCGGCATGAGTCAATGTACTCGATGATACTGTCCGACCTCACGGAGGTCGAGAACCGGACGCCCTTCTGCCATCGCTATGATCACGTTCAGTTCTACGAGCGTACTGGTGAGGAGCTGTCCTATGAATTGGCCTACTGGGTACCCTGGTTGAAGTTGCAGTTCATGTACCATGCCATCCTCACCGTCCTGAATCACCCGTTTCTGTACATTATGGCCTCGCGCCAGAATCCCAACCTGGCCATCCCGAACAGCTTCTGGCGACGTTCCTCGGAGCTGGTGGTGCTGCACGCCACCTGGATTGTGCGCTTGATCGACATGGTGGTGGAGAAGGAAGTACGCCTGTCCGACCCCTTTTTCGCCCATGTCGCCGCCATTGCCGCCACGGTGCAGCTATACTATTGCTGTGCCGGGGATCCCCGTCTGAAGTACAAGTCGCGGGTGGACTATGCCAAGTGCCGCGAGTTCCTGAGGACCTTTGCCACTACATCGCGGGCCTGCGAGGGCTTGGTAGGTGATCATTCCCCCCTACCTACAGAATGAGCAGCTGACTCCTTTTCTCTGTAGCATCGCATCCTGGACCAGATGATGCGTATTGCATCCGGCTCGGAGAATGTCGACTATGAGACCTGGCTCCCGTCCAAGATCTACTTGAGTATCCCACTCATGTGGGACATCCTACAGTTCAACGTCACGGATCGGTCGGCGGGCGGGAGGGCAGACGGCCGCCTGCTGCATTCCTCATTGGCAGCATCGGCGGTCGGGCAAGACTCCGAAGAGGACTCGACGCTCGAGGTGATTGTCACAACCTCGCCGGAGGTGACGGTCAACACCGCCGACGGGGGCCAGGCGGTGCCCCTGCCTCTGTATCGGACGCCAGCGACCTCCAAAGCTAACGCAGCAGCTACTTCCATAATGCGTGACACCCTCGTTGCGCCGATTGACAGTCTAATGGTCAATACTCCATGGCTCTGGGCCGACTCGGCTCCACTGGGCGACATGGAGAGCTCCCTGGGATATGCCAACTCCGGTCCGGGCGGCGGAGATGCGGAATTTTCGTCATGGTGGAATTTGGGGAACCTGTGAACCGATCCAAACCTGCGTGAATATCTAATACCAAGAATAGTCTTGATTGCCCTTTTGATTCGATGGAGATAGTATGGCCACCTATCCACTCACACACAACCTGAGCGGAGACGTCGAAACCCGGCAATCGAGAGGAGAGAGACAAACACAACAGTGAAAGAGAGACAGACAGGGAAGAGGAGTCCCGACCAACCCCGCACGCACAAAAGAAACCATCCTCATCTCCGTCCTCCTCCTCTCCTCTTTCACCTCGCCCTTCCCCCCTTGGCTGCTCGCCTCGGCTTTCAGTCCGCGGTCAACCTGGCAGTCCCTATGCGAGTTCTCCCTCTATCTCGAGTCTCTTTGCCCCCCCATGAGCGAAACTCTCCAACCAAGAGACCAGACGCGCCACCCGTTCTCCGACCGATAGAAGCGAGGGGCATTGCCAATCCGACGAAGGCCAAAGCTCCTCCGTAAGACACGCTAGGACCCGCCACTATCCAGTACCGCCTTGCCTGTTTTGGACATCTTTTCCCAGGGATCCATCTTTTTTCCCCCTCGCGACCTTGCCTTCCCTGGATAAGATACGATACGATACGTTTGCCCCCCATCGGCCCGCCAACTGCTTTCCCCCTCCTTTTAGCGTCATGCCCTTTGTTTGTTATTGGGATGGCAGTAGCTACACACTTCCCGACGCAAGTCATCTCACACAAACACCGTGTCGGCTCCGCTCGTTCTTCGGCTTGATGTCGATCCCAACCCGGACGTCTCGGAATGCCATGGATATTCCATCTCTTGGACTGATAGAGCGCAAGGGAGACGACGGTGGAACCGGTACTGGGTTCCCGGTGTGGTATGCTGTCTCTTCATGCTTATCGGCCATCAGTTTCCCGCGCGAAACGCGTCACCCCAAAGCAGGGGGGGTTGCACATGGCTAGTACCTCAATTCCCCAATCGCCGAGTTGGGGGAAGGCGGGGGTGAAGAAAAGTAATTTTCCGATGCCGCCGGGCTATGCGACCAGAACCTTCGCTGTATGCTGTAACTCGCCACCACCAAGTTTACCATGGCGATACCTTTGATTAGTGTGGATGGCACAATCATGATCATACTTCCCTTTTCCATGTTTCCTCTCTACATCATAATGGATCTCAGCCAATCGAGCTTTGCTGTTCCCGACAGCCTGATGGGGACCTCTGCCACATCAGTAGCAGAGGTTGATATCGGGACACACTAACTCTTTTGCAGATTGCTGGCTCCTCCTGCATAGACCAGTCTCAACAGGATTTGTTGTCTATAGTCTCTAGTATTCCTGTTGTATCTAATGTCTAATATCTACTGATGCTCTTTAACCAGACTACGACTTCTATCCCAACGCACTCTTCAGCCACTCATGGGCCTGGCCATATATGTCCTCGCAAACCCTTTTCCGGTACGCTCTTTCGGCCGCATTCCCCTCCTGGCCGTGCGTGAAGCCATGCGTGCACCCTCGGGCCAAGGTCCACTTATACGCAGACGTCTCGAAGGGCGCTTCCTGGTCCTCTTCATTGTGCAGCCCCGCCAGGCGGTGGATCATCTGCTGGGCTTCCAGCCGCAGCATATCCCACTGCGCGGCAATCATGTAGATGCGCGGGGGCAGGTCTTTCGGGTCAGCGTACCAGGGGCTCAACAGCGGATCGCGTCGGTTCTGTCCCACACAGACATACCCCCAGTCCAGAGCCCACGCCATGATGCCTATCTTGTCCAAGGGACCATCCGTGTAGGGGCGGGAGGCTAGTTTGATAGGCGGGGGATGGCCAAAGTCGACAATCGGGTAGTAGACGACGGCGGCTTTGACCCGTCCATGCAGGGGAGGCAGCTGCGACACCGACAAGGCCAGATTCCCGCCTGCACTGAACCCCCCAATCGTGATGCGCTCGGGATCAATGGGCAGGGACTCATCCGCCAGCACGTCCTTAATCTGGGCGACTAGATCGTAGGTGGCGGTGGGGAAGGGGTGTCGCGGTACGCGGCGGTAGTCCAGACTCACGACGAGCATGCCGGTCCGCTCGGTCCAGGCGGCGCAGAAGCGGTCATCTACCTGGGCATTCCCCACGGCGAAACCTCCGCCATGGATGTTCAGATATAAAGGCAGGCGCTCACCCGCGCGATAGTTGGACGGGAAGAAGATGTGGGTGTTGAGCATGGGACGAGATGGGTAGCGACGGACAAAGGTGGGCTGGTAGCGAGGCGGCGGCTGTCGTACCAGGCGCCGAAAGTAGAAGTAGATGGCGGCCAGGGATTTCAGCAGCCATAGTCGGATGAAGCAGTCCACGCGGTGCCACAAAGGCATGCGCACTTTCCAGAGAGGGGGAGGGGACTCCGCGGTGGTGATATCGGCCTGTTCCTTCATGGTTGAGGCTGGCCGGTGAGACGGGGCTGGGGGAAGAAGAACTGTCTGCCTCAGCAGAAAAAAAAATAATCAGCTCACGGAGGGAAAGCGAACTAGCGCGTTGGGAACGTAATCCTTCGACACACAGCCTCCCCAACCGTCTAGCGCTCCCGTCATCGCGATATAGATAAGTCCAAAGCCTTTATCTCCCACCCCTACCCCCAAGGAGCTCATCCCGTAGTTCCATCGCGTAAAGAGGCAAGAATTGGCGCGTAGTCGAAGGGGACCATCGCCATGTTTCCTCCTGCCCGCACACAGCGGTCCCAGAAAAGGGAGAGAATGGTGTGTGACCGTCTTGCGCAGTGGTTGACATGGCTAGACGGGAATTAAGAGATTATGTGAGGGTAATGTGAGTGCCTGGGATGGTTGATCAGGAGTCAGAATGATACTTTTTGGCATTATAGTGGTGGTGGACAATATATAGAGAGAAGGGAAGAGGGCCGATGCATAGGCTCGAACGCGCCAATCTTCTCCTTAGACTTAAGGATCTGGCCAATGGTAGTTCTGTCAACTGAAATCAAGTGCTTCGAAACAGTTCCGGCATCTTTGACACTGTTAGACAAGTAGGTAAATAAGCAGCAGTAGAGACTCTGTGTAAAGCTTGAAGAAAAGGTAAGTGTATGTGTGTGTGTGTGTTCAGTCTTGTTTCTTGTCCGGTTGAAGCTTCCCCGCATCTGTGCTTACCTCAGCAGTCCCTCGCGTCTCCACTTTCCTGTTTCATCATCAATTGTATTCCTTCTTCTCCTCAACTCCTCTCTACTTCTCGACTACATCTTCCTTATTGCTATACATCCCCATCACCTTCTCGTCTTCTAGTACCCACAAACCTTCCTAGTTTAAATGATCTGCTTCACACTTCTGCTGAATTGGCAACTCATCATGTCTACGATCCCCATTCGCGCATCTCCCTCCCCAGCATGGGCGAACGGATGGATTGTGGGTTCCTTTTATGTCATCATGGCATCATAATCATCCTTCTCCTGCCAGCAATATCATCATCATCATTATCATCATCATCACCGGCTTCTCCTCCGATCGCCCAAGACTTCTTTGCTGGCCAAACTCAGGAACCCTTCCATATCCCTTTTCTCCCTCCCCAGAAACCAACCCCTTCTCGAATCTTCCCAGAGAAACCATCTCTCCCACTACCTCTTACTGATAAACCGGCCGTCGTGCCCCCATGTCCACACGCAGAAAGAAATCCGAGGTACGTGCTTGGGATTCACTGCCGCGCCCTCCCTCCCCCCACTGAATCGCCCATTCCTTAGTCCTAGTCTCTTATACATACTATCGTAGACTGCCCCGGCCAGGGCCGATCGCGCCCAACAACCCGCCGCCGAGTATGCTATCAGCTCGGGTAACTACCATGAGGACCTGCTGCACGATCTCTTTCACGTCGTCCGATCCATCGACCCCGATCACACTCCGACCCTCGTCGACATGATCCGCAACCATGCCTCGCTGGACGAGGTGCGGGCCTACCTCACTCGCGCCCTGGCCGCTGCCCAGCCCTCGACCCCAGATCAGGAGGACGCCCTGCACCGCCTGGAGGGTCTGCGTCATGGTATTGAGGTCGAGAGTGAGCCCCCGCGCTTTCGCCCTCAGATCATGGACATCCGGTATTTGTGCAGTAATGCCCCTTATCGCGTCCCTGCCAAACCCTGGACTTCGGTCACCGACGACGATGACCTCGTCTCCCACTTGGTCTCCCTCTACCTAATCTGGGACTATCCCTTCTTCGCCTTCTTCGACAGCGCAACCTTTATTAAGCACATGGCCATGGGCAACACCGAGTCCGACTTTTGCAGCCCCTTCTTGGTTAACGCCCTGCTGGCCAACGCTTGCGTAAGTCCATCCCACCCTGCCGTGTTTAACTCTTCAAGCAGACTGGATAACCATGGGCATTGCGTGGCTCTATCTAGTACTACTCCCAATACACCGAAGCCTACACTGTTCCCGGTGATGTCCGTACCAAAGGAGCCGATTTTCTGGCAGAAGCAGAACGCCATTTACAATCGCATCAGTTTGAGAAGGGAGGCGACATTCGTCTGGCATCTTTGCAGGCGCATCTATTGCTGTATGAGAGGTATGTCCGCACCAACCCTGGGCGGTGGGCGCCCTGGATTGTATGTTTCTAATCCACCAGGTACTCTTTGTCGGGCCACGATGACTGGGGATACACTATGTTGCATCGCGCCATCGAGATGGGAGAGTCGCTAGGCATCGTCAACAAGAAGACTGACTTACGCCTCTCCGTTTCCCAAATGTCCGAGGACATGATCGTCTCCATTAAGCGCACCGCCTGGGGCCTGTTCCAGGTAGACACGTAAGTGCGATCTCACGTTCCTGTCAAGCAATATTTGTGCTAGGGCCCATTCTGATGGTGGACAACCACAGGGTCGTCCACACCAACTTCCTCCGGCCAAGCCGCGTTAGCTCCGTAAGTGTCGAGCCTATCGACCGAAATGGCACGAACACGAGCGACATGTGGGCACCGTACCCAATATCTCAACAATCCCGCCCGTCGTACCTAAACCTTTATTTTGATGAGGCATGCAAGCTCTCCTTCATTGCCCGCGACATTTCCTGGAGTCTCTCCCGCACCGATCGGTCGGGCACCGAGCCAGATCAGCGCAAGCAAGAACTCTACGACCGGCTCAGTGCATGGGAAAGCAATCTTCCCGAGTGCTTTGATCCGGCCACGCGACCGGCACCACATCTACTATTGCTCAGGTAAAGTGTTCTCACCATCGGCGAGGTGGCGGAACGTGAGTGAACTAACCAGTCCTCTTGTCTACAGAATGCGCTACCATACACTAGTGATAAACCTCTGCTGCGATCGATTCGGATTCCACCCCATACTCTCCGAGGGTGACGAGCTTACGCCCCGAGAGAGTAAAGGATTTAGCGCTGTGGAAATCGCCCTTTCGTCAGCGCGAACCATCGCCGCGCTCACCCAGCAGCTAAGGGTGGAATACGGGATGGAACATGCCCACCAGTTCGCCATGTACTCGGTCAATCTGGCGCTGTTCACCCTTCTCGGCCAGGACACCTTTGATATCCTCGACCGCGACTTCCTCACCTTGACCAGCGCATTGTCGATCATTGCCTGCCGCTCCCAACTGGGACGCCACCTCTTCCACCTCTTCAAGCTGTCGGTGCGGTCCCGCAACCAGGGCGATCGGGTGCAGCAGTCGCAGGAGGTGCCACCCGGGATCAAGGAGCTGTTCCAGCCAGACACGATGGCACAGGTGCCCGACCGGTGGGATAGATACGCCGAGGGGTTAACCAAAATCGATGGCGAACAGAGTTATGTGGACCACTTCCAGGACGATCCCCAGTCGTTAGCTACCTCTGGACTGCACGAGATGCTGCAGCGATACGAGCGGTTAAGTGTAGGCAAGGACGACGAGTGGCGCGACCGTCGGCCAAAGGGATTGACGCATTTTTGAACTCACTCTTCTTCAACAAGAACATAAATTAGACCATGTCCCAATGTGGCCATGAACCTCAGATATATATCCCTGAGACTGTACATACATGTGATTCGATTCCATCTGTAGACGATACACGAAGTTACCACATATTCCTCCTCACCCATTACAATCTTCAGAAAGTCCATATAACCATAAGATCAATTGATCCTCCACTCGGTAATTCGAAATACCGACACATCAACTCTGATTCATAAATACATATATATCACCACCCCTCATGATCTCTCCCCCCTTTTGTATGATTACATCTTTCTAAACAACAAAAGAAAACCCAAAATATAATACATCCGAAAATAAAATAGTAAGTTCACGAAAGACCCCGCAAAGCTTCTCACAAGTAAAGGCCCTCTTCTTCGAGGGTCTCCAACACCTCCGACGCACTTCCAATCAAGTGCAGACTACCCGTGATAAGCACAAGCGGCGGCACACGGCCCTGGCCACCGACGCTGCCAACACCCCCAGCGCAGCGAATAGCTTCCTCGACGGTGCGCACGACCGTAATACCCGTCAACTCCTCCCCGGGGATACCGCGCCAGTAAGTGCTCAGCTGGGCCTGGAGGTTAAGGTTCTCCTCGCCTGCATTACCATGGAAGGTCATGGACGCGCGCTCCATATCCGCCGTCTCATCCTTCTCCCACGCGATGTTGGAGCAGAAGATGACATGGTGGAACGGCTTCTCGGCCAGACTACTACCGTTACCTGCAGTCTGACGAATGCTATCCCGGAGGTGGCGCACGAGGGTAAAGGCATCGCGGGTGGACTGGTTGAAGATGAGGACCCGCTTGGCGGAGTCCTGCTGCGGTGCGGCCTTCTTCGCGAACCAGGATCCCACCAGGTCCATGCTCTCCACGGTGTGCGCGCCATCCAGATGGAACCGACCGGACCGGCAGTCCCGCGTCTCGCAGCGGCCCGGCCAGCTGGCGGTCTCCAGAGCGCGACGGAATTTCTCCGGTAGGGGAGCGGAGGTGATGTCGTCGGGAATGTCCGAGTAGCCCATGTTGCGTAGATGGGTCGCCGCCACGGCTATGGCCAAACTAGCATTTATCTTCTGGAAGTCTCCTGCTAGTCCCAACTCCATGGTCTCCACTTCCGGGTGCACGGGGACAATGGTCAGTGGCGCACCCACTTCGGCTGCGATCTTTTGCAGGGTAGCGGTAGCGCCGGGAGCTTGGGGAATAGTCAAGATCGGGACACCGGGCTTGATGATGCCGCCTTTAGCCCAGGCGATCTCCTCGATAGTGTTGCCTAGCAGGTCGGTGTGCTCGAGGGCGAGACTCGTTATGGCACTGACGCTAGGCTTGTGGAGGATGTTGGTTGAGTCATGTCGCCCACCGAGACACACTTCGACCACGGCGGTGTCGACTTTCTCCTGCAGGAACCCGTGAAGGGCCATCAGCGTGAGGAAGCGGGCAAAGGGAGGACCGCTCTTGGCGGTCTCCTCTGTCAGACCGAGTCGGCTCCAGACATCACAGAAGTACTGGACGAATTGGTCCTCGGTTAGGGAGGTGTGGTGGAAAGGGGTGTCGTTGGACGGGCTGATCCGAATGCGCTCTCGGACGGTGCGCAGATGAGGTGATGTGTAGAGCCCCAGCTTCTTGATTGGGTTCTGTGACATGTGTTAGTGGTGTGTGCGGAAGGATATCTTCGACAGCTCAGCTGCAGTGGTTGCAGTGCATACCTCGTGGCCTTGGTATTCGGACAGAATCGAGAAGATAAACGCCGAGGTGGAACCTTTGCCTTTACTTCCGGCAATGTGCACCGCATTCAGAGGATCAAAATCGGGACTCTGTAGATCGCTGTCAGTGTCTGATTAGAGTGTCCTCGATGATAGTTGCCTACCTCATATCCCACTGCACGACACCATTTCAGCATGTCCTGGATAAAGACACTACGGTCCGCTGTCTTGATGGCGAGTTGGCGGTACGCAAAGTTGGTGTTGAGCGTGTTTAGCTGGCGAAGGGTGTCCTTTCAGAGCGTCAGTATGAGCTTTGATCCTGGATTGAAATGACTAACATTGTATGTAATTGCTTCTACATTCTTTCCCCCTTCCCGTTCAGCAGAGGAGAGGGAAGTTATGTTCGATGGAGGGTCCATTTCAGGCATGAACTGGATTGACGGCATTGTGAGGGAGAATTGCGTTTACAAAAGCCTTGAGATCGACGAAAGTTTTGATTGCCTTGTTTGGTCAATTGTGAAACCGATTCTAATGTGCTTTATATAGATATCAACAAGGGCTTCAGGTACAGTGACTTGGCACATTTCTGGCATGCGCCTTCTGTTGGGCAGCTTGCGCTGATGCTGAGCTGCAGGTCCGCAATGGCGTGAGTAGTAGGGTTGCGCACCCTAGAAGATCGACAGGTCGAGCCCGGACTTTCTTTCACCGCCAATAGTTTAGCTGCTGCAGAGTGGATATGCACGATCGACGATGCAGCCGCTGACGCGGCTGCACATTTAACTTCTTCTTTCTTCTTGGCGTGGGTAACTGTTCTTCTGAATTCTGAAACTTGCTTTTGCACCCTGATCGGCGTTGACGCCAACCCTGGGGCTCAGCCGCGATCTTCCCCAACTTTTAGTTTCCATTACTTAAAGGTAATTGCCATAGGGGTCCTTATTTCCTCTTTCGGTCAGCTAAAGCTCCGAATCACACAAGCTGTAGCTGAGAAAGTGACTCCGAATTGCCCGGGAACAGACGGAATTTTACATCCACACCGAAGGCCCCGTGCCGTGAAAAACACTAGCTAGGCCGTAATGCATCCCATCCATGATGTGATCTCCGGTTGCCATTTGTGGAAAACAAGCATCGATCGGGCGGATGCATATGTCATCAGGCAAGCAGAGGATGTCAGCATAGAGCCGGTATAACTATGCCAGACATGGCAAGTTTCGCGGTCGATTGACGCTTTGGCTGAACCAAGTCACTCCTTTTGAATTTTTCAGGGCCTTTACCAACCCTTTTCACTCCCTAAGGCAATTTTTATCATGTCTCAAGAAGTCAAGGACAAAGGTCCTCAGGAGGTTGTGCACACAATCGAGCTGGGCTCCCTTGGGGGCAACTCCAGCAGTGCCAGCCTCCAGCCACTCTCTCAAACGCCCTCAGAGGCGGCGCCTCCGCCGCCGCCGCCGCCGCCACATACAGTGTTGACGGAGAGGAAGAAGATCATGACTATCGCTATTGCGGCCATCGTGGGATTCCTAGCCCCGGTGTCAGCAAACATCTACTATCCCGCCATTGACCAACTATCCGAAGACTTGCATGTCTCCGTGAGCAAAATTAACTTGACTATCACCACTTACATGGTAAGATCATATCACATGTCCCGAAAGATATGTTGCATAAGCTAACATACACGGGTTCAGATCTTCCAAGGAGTTGCGCCGTTGGTGACGGGAAGTATATCCGATGTATATGGCCGTCGACCCACGATGCTGGTCTGTCTGATCACCTACCTCGCCGTCAATATCGGCCTGGCGCTGCAAGACAACTACATTGCACTCATCGTCCTCAGAACCTTCCAAAGTTGCGGAAGTAGTGCCATCTCGGTCGTCGGCATAGCTGTTACGGCCGACTTGGTCACTCGAAGCGAGCGTGGTAAATACATGATCTACTCGTCGCTGGGAACGACAATGGGACCTGCCCTCGGCCCTATCATTGGAGGTGTCCTGGCCCAGTTTCTTCGCTGGCGAAGTATCTTCTGGTTTCTCGCCATATTTGCCCTGGCGATGATAATCCTCATCCTTGTCTGTTTCCCCGAAACCTGCCGCATGGTGGTCGGAAATGGATCTATCCCCGCGCCGCGTTGGAACCGGCCACTCATTCCGATTGTGCAGCCATCGGCCTATGAAGGGGCTGAGGCAGCTAAGAAAGAGCTGGAAGATGGGCCTAAGCCCCGTCGACCGACGCCGATTGACAGCATTAAAATCGCTTTGGAAAAGGAAACTGGCGCCATCATTGCCTTCTGCTCTATCCTCTACTGCGGATACTTTGCTGTTCTCAGTAGTTTGTCGTCGGAGCTGGGAGAGAAGTACGGCTACAACTCGCTCCAGATCGGCCTGTGCTATATTCCATATGGGATTGGCAGTCTCACCTCGAGGTGGACCGTTGGGCGATTCGTGGACTGGAATTTCCGTCGCCTGGGGCGGCAACATGGCATGGAGGTGGTCAATAACCGCCAGGTGGACCTCATTGAGTTCCCTGTCGAAAAGGCCCGTCTCCAGATCACATTGCCAATGGTCTATATGTCCTGCATCTGCATCATTGGCTATGGCTGGGTCATGAATTACAAGACTCATGTGGCCGGGCCGCTCATTATGCTGTTCTTCACGGCGCATACCATTGCGGGAGCTACCAGCACCCTCGTCACGCTGCTGATCGACTGCCACGTCAAGCGGGCGGCGACAGTCACAGCTTCCAACACAATGTTCCGTTGCTTTCTAGGCGCGGGTGCGGTTGCAGCTGCAGTGCCTATCATTAACGCAATTGGTATGGGCTGGATGGGGACCCTGATCGCTGTCCTGTGGGCGGTTTCCAGCGTCCTTCTTTGGGGTGTTTTACTCTGGGGCCACGACTACCGCAAGAAACGGGCGGGGAGAATCTGATAGGATCGTCATTCATTCAGGGGTGCCAACGCACCTAAGATCTACGAGCCACTGTGGATCGAAGTAAGAAAAAAGGATGTTTCATAGATAGACAAGTTCGGATAGTTGAATTCAGGAACTCACACCTTAGAACTTTCGTGCATATACTAGAAAAGAACTTTTCGGGTGTAGTCTACATTGTAGACGGAATTTGGTGACATCGCATTCCTAAAGCGGTCAAAGTTTGGACCTGTCGCCCGAGTATACGCAATGGCGTCCCTTACATCGCCCGTGCGCTGCCCTTGCATTCTGCTTTGTTCCGAATGTTCTCTGTAGAATGTGCTTTGTAGATTTGAGCGGGAATCAGGCTACGACATGTTGCTTACCCATCATGCCGTCCACGTACTCACCTTCAGGCGATGAAATGATCATTGCCGTGTGATAGGATTCTAGTGGGAACCGGCGTCACATCATGAGAATCACGCAATAATTGTCGCCGGTGTGATGCCAGAAAAGCAACGATCAGGGGAAACCATAGTTCTCCGGACCGACGTGGCGGGCTCATTGTCCGAGCTGGCAAGTGAACTCCGAAGAGAGGTCCCGACAAGAGCTGTTGTGGAGTTGGGCAATATCTGCAGTGTCAGTCAGCATCACGAAATTGGCCGATCGCCGCCCCCGACGAGCGGTGCGGCCGGAGGTGCAGATCATCGGCCTGGAGCTGCAGCAAACCAAGACGGCCCCTGGCCCACACGTGCAGATCGATAGATTTCATCAGCAGCAGCCAGACCCAGGCTATTGTTCCATAGTTTCACGGTTAACAGGCATCATTGTTCAGCTCGAACATGGCTTGCGCCAGAAGGTTTATTTACGTAAATCCATCACCAAACCCTGCTGGCTGACAGCAAGCCTTCGTCGTAGAAAGTATATAAGGGAGAGAGGATCCACTGAGAGACCAAAGCCCAGACACGAGCAGATCGAAGAAGCTTGGTGACAGAGTCAGTGGTGATAATCTCGTGAAATTCTCTTCATCATGCATCCTCCACCTATGCCCCGACCACACAGCGACAGGTCTTCGCACACTGTCTCGAAATGGACCACGCCCATCCCTCAATGTTCACTCCCCCGGTTCGTGTTTGGCTCCCCTCGACGCTCCCTGAGTAGCCGAAAGATCCTCATCGATGCCGACTCCCCGGATACGAGAGCTTTGTCGCTGGCCCAATACCGACTCCTCTCTGCTCGTGTAGCAGTGGGTTTGCAGAAACTGGGCGTCAACCCGAAAGATCGCGTGTTATGCGTGACCTCCAATGCCCTCTGCTATCCCGCACTCCTCATGGGCACTGTGATGGCCGGGTGTATCTTCGCGTCTGGACAACCTGCTCTCAACCAGGCCGAATTCCATCGTTTGATATCCTTCTCACAACCTTCGGTGATTTTTGCCAGCCGTGCCACCCTTCCAGTTGCCCTGCAAGCCGCGCGCTTGGCCAATCATCCTGATAACCGAATTTTTGTCTTTGACGATGACATCCTAGACGGCTGTGGCGAGCCGGAAGGCCCGATTCAGCACTGGCAGACGATGGTGGCGTCCGAATGGGAGGGGTCGCGGTTTTGGTACCCCACTGTCATTTCTTCGCAAGAGTATAACAGCACAATAATGCTCCTTTTCACTTCCGGCACTACTGGTGAGCCCAAGGGTGTAGAACTGTCACATCGCAACTACATTGCGGCAGCGATGGGATACATCCGGCGAATCTCCTCGCATCCAGCTTGGAAATATAACCCTCGCCTTGGAGGCCCTGAAAACGTGCGCGTGTTGGGTTCCCTTGCAATCAATCACAGTGTTGGGCAGCGGTCATATTGCGCCATCTTTCCCAGGATGGGTGTTCCGCTGTATTTAATGCGACGCAATGACTTTCGGAGCATCTGCGAGGCAGTTGAGCGGTTCCAGATCACAGATGCAATCATTCGAAGCTCTGTTCTGACCTCCATGGCGAAGAATGCCCCCATCTGTCGAGAATACGATTTGACATGTCTCCGACGTGTCGAGGCGTGTGCTGCGCCGATGAGCCAGTTCACGAAGTTCAAGCTGGAAAGTATGGGAATCGGATACGTTGCCCGTGCCTGGGGGCTTACAGAGTAGGTTTGTCCCTGCAAATCGACGGTTTTCTGTTGCTGACTATATGACTGGGCAGAACGGGAACTATCACTGGGCCCGATCCCCTGCGCCCGCCCAAGTCCGAGACGGTCGGGCAACTGAACGCCACGTACGAAGGGAAAGTAACTGATTCCAGTGACTATTCTCGGACATTGAAGACAGGTGAGGTTGGCGACATCTGGATCCGCACGCCAGGATCAACTCGAGGATACTGGAACAATCCCGCCGCGACGGAGCAAGTGATGGGAGCAGGCGGTTGGATCAGCACAGGAGATGTAGGATACGTCGATGACGAAGGCAATTGGTATATTGTGGACCGTAAAAAGGTAATTCCTTGCCCCCTTGCTGCGGGTGTGGCAGAAAAGATAGAACTCTAGCTGACTGTTACCACAGGATTTGATCAAGGTTAACGGAAGCCATGTATCTCCGGTCGAGATTGAGTCTGTCCTACTACAGCACCCGCATGTCTGTGATGTTGGGGTTATCGGAGTCGCAGTGTAAGCCGCCTGTTTCATTCCCTGGAAGATGAGTCTAACTCCTGCAGAAACGAGGACGAGGGCCCCCGGGCCTATATCCAGACCTACCCCAAGACCTCGGTGTCCGCCGAGGAGATCCATGAGCTCATCTCGGAGAAGCTCCCTCCATACAAGCGTCTGTCAGGCGGTCTCTCGTTCATTGAGAAAATTCCACGGAACGCGGTATGCCCTTTTTGTTGCCATTGTCTTATCCTCCATGAGCTGCATATGCTGACCATACTGTTCGTGATAGTCCGGCAAGGTGTTGCGCAGTGAGCTTCGGCAAGTAGCCATCTCGGAGCTGGGAGACTATTTAGGAAACTACCACGGCACGTCCGCTTCCAGTTCCGAAGAGGGAGTTCACCTCTAGTCGCTGGTCAGGTCTTCATTTCCTGCCAATTGTCTGCTTCTGCCGGGGGTTTCACGGGCTTCACACTGCAACCACTATAATGTCGACATTTCTCTAATTTTCGTGAAAGGTGAGGCCCAGTGTTTGAGGGTTCTGTTTCGATGCAAGTAATAGATTAATGGTCGCGCCAGCCACTCGCTCTTTCTATCTGCCAATTGCTTATGTATATATATATATCCTTCACTAGCTTGGCGGGGTGAGCCCATTAGTCTCTAATGAAGGAAAAGTTCCTGGGAGTTGCTGTTCACATGGTTGTAGAGGTTCATTGTCTGCCTCACAGACCTTTTCCTCTCTAGGCATCTGTAGCTCGGCATGTAGGTGTCAGCCAGGCTATAGTTTTCAATGCAACTCATTTATTTTTGACATAAGTTGTTTCTCATTACGGCAAAACAAGTATAAACTGCAAGACAAGTGAGCAAAAGAAGCGACTAGGGAGATGGATCGAGCAGACCTGCGGGGGTGGAAAGGAAAGTGAGGAGAAAAAAGGGGGCGGGGAATCACGGCAGAACCCGACGCGGGACACGTGCCGAACCGCGGACGGGGTTCCCCAGGAAAGTACATTGTAGTTGGATGGTTATTGGTGATGTTGATGAGTGGGTTTTGAGAGGAGTACTACAGTAGTTGCTAAAAAGGATTTTTTTTTTTATATCCAAAAAGCTGGTGTCTGGCCAGGAAACACACCTAGTAGTAAGCGCTGTCAACTCACTTTGTGACTATTATTAGTACTGCGAGCACAGAATATATATACATAGAGCTTACTCTTCTGCTACTGGTACAGCAGGAGGGGTCTCGCCACTGGGAAGTCATCGGTCTTAATTCTCGAACACTTACCATAGTAGCATCTAAGGTATACAGTATCTTGTTGCTACTCACAATGTACACAGAGTAATGGTTACATCCATGTAGACAAACCACCGAAAACTGGCGTGCGAACGGGTGTTGCAACCTGAGGCTTCCAGAAGCACGAGACACGTACTATCCACTTTGGGATTAGCACCGAGACGGGACTGACTTGCCCCCCACGACAAGTTTCCGGCTGCAATCGCGCAACAATCAATTAGTTGTCAAGGTCTACGTACGGAGTAGTGAATCTCTTGCCTCCGGCAAACAAATCTCGTGTCACCCTCCACAGTTTTAGACTTATCTTCTGTTCAGTATCAGATTATCACACATCAACGACCAAGCATGATCTAAGCTTGTCCCGCATGCAGACATATATCGTCAACCTAAATCCGACAACATGATGGCATGAGTGACAGGCTGCGACCGCACTTTCGAACGCCTATTCCAATCCTCGCCTACGACCCTCGCCTGGTTTGTTCATGCCAATTCGACGGCCAGGACTTCCACACAGCACAATGATACTATATCGATCCACAGGATGGGTCCGGTTCGCCCGGTCGGCAGTTGCGAACCGGATCAAGAACCTCGGATGCTGCGGAAAGCCTCAACTCTGACAGCCAGCTTCAACCACGGTCGGGGATGATGTCATGTCGAGTGAACCTGGGTTCGGGAGGGGTAGCCACGAGTTATAGATATACTGCTGGATGTACAGGTGTGGCAGAGGTGTGTTCACCTCCTACTCGGCCCACGAGACATTGTCATCCAGTATGGTCTACAATATCACCGAGAAAGAAACGCAGCCTACCATTTGGGGCCACATCAATGGCTCCGAGGGCGATATCCTCGATCGCTACTGCATCTCCGAGCTCTGCAAGGGTTGGCCAGTATATCGCGACGCCTCCGAATGGAACCACTACCGCCATCTCTTTGTCGACAAGGGCGCTTTTGTCTTCACTAGTAGGTCGCGTCTCTCCTTCCGGGGCAGCTAGTCCAGCTAACGTGCTGTGTCTCTTTCCAGCTTGGAGCGGCGGACTCCCCATAGACGATTTCATCCAGACATCCATCAAGGGACGCGCCAACGGAGACCACATCATGCATCGCGAAAACGGCACGCTCGTTGACCTGAACCCGACCACCGGTCGCGCTATCGGTAAAATGAAGGCCACCATCACTCAACGCTTCAACTGGGATGGAGTCGAATTTGACGTCGAGTGTGATTGCCGCTTCATAAACTTTTGTCTGAAACAGGGAGGGGATTGGAAAGTGGTCTACATAAAACTGTTCTACGAGAAGGATCGCGTCACACCCGCAGATGGCCGGACGGTGCCGGAATTCGAACGGGCGGAGTTGGAGAAATACCCCAAGGGATACCAGTATCTGGCAGTGGCACAGGCCAAGCTGGGCCATCCCATATTGAATGATTTGCCGACGATGAACAACAAGGCGTTTTACAAGTTGTATGAGGCAATGGATGCGTGGATGGAGGCCCGACCGGTCGGAGATCTACTGGAGATTCCCAAGGAAGCGTCGCCACGGTACTGAAATTGAACCACCTAATGATTTTATTAATATTTCAACTGTCAATGATTTGATATTTGGCGGATCAGTTTGTGGCTAAGTTACCATCATAATCCCAATTTTCATCGCAGATAGCAAATTATCAATCATCGCACGTAGTATCAACCAAACTGAATATTCTCCCAAACCTACATATTACGTCCAGATACGGAATGGAACCGAGGAATTGTAGCATCCCCCATCCAACCAGTCCCCAGTCACCTTCCGCACTGGCGTACCCTCGCCAAACTCCAGAATCTGCCCACCCCCAGGAGCATCCGCATCAAAGGCCGGCCATCCAACCGTGACATTAACCGTGGAAGGATTCTTCAAGAAAGCCAGAATATGATCCTGCATCGTCTCAGAAGTCTTCACCTCCAGCCCCGGGACCTCTCCGACGTCTTCGCGATAAGTTCCAAAGATCATCAACAAGTCCGACCAGTGGAACGCTCCCAGCCAGTCGACAGGACTGATGTTGGTGAAGTTGCCGGCCCAGAAGTACCGGTATGTCTCGAGCCCGAGAGACTTGCGTAAAGCTGAGTCCTGGGCAGCTCTGCAATCCCATTCTCCCTCGCTGATCATCACGCTCGTGGTATTCGCCGATGCGTCCTCGCGGGCTGCGTCGGAGCGGATGGCTGGGCCTCGGGCGACCTTGCCTTCGAGGTACCGCTTTGATTCGTTGGAGAAGATGTACTTCTCGTCGGCTGGAAGTATCGTTAGTACGAAAAGGATGGAGGTGAAAGGTAATTCATACGGATATAATTGCTGAACGCAATCGAGGGTGAGCCCGAGTACCGATTAATGTACTCCTCAATCTGCACCCAGGAGACCTGACGCATGCACTCAAGCTCGGCTTCCGCATCGTCACCATAGTTGCAGCCCAGGGCCTTGGCCACAATGTCAAAGTCCTGGTAGACGTCGTCGGTTGTGCTCAGGTCAATTGTGACAGAGGGGGGCTGTGAGATGATGCCGAATTTGACTGCCAGTGGGTCATCGGGGAAGGCGAGGGTGTAGAGGTGTGTCAGGGCTGCTCCTTGGGATTGACCCCAGAGCTACAGTTAATAGTTAGTCGCATCGCACAGAGCTAGTTTAGCATGGTGGAGGACGACCGACCATGATATTGTCGCGATCTCCACCAAAAGCCTCGATGTTCTCATGCACCCATTCTGCCGCTGCCCTCACGTCCAGCAGCGTGAGCGACGTGTCGTTCAGGGCTCGGGACTTGGGATCTACAAACATAGTGGTTAGTGGATGCAATAGCATAACCGGCGGGAGACATACTTCCAAAGATGTTTGCACGGTAATTGATAGTCACGACAATGTGTTCCTGCGAGCGAGACACCCACGGCGAGGGCAGCTGAGAGGGGATTTCAATTCCTCCAGTGACACCTCCTCCACCAGTCACGAACAATGCCACAGGCAACTTGGAGGTGCGATTGGCATAGGACGGGGTCCAAACTGCCAATGACAGACAGTCTTCCGACGTCGACCAAGCCACTGCCCCTTGGTTCAGGTTTTCTCCCAAGTTGACCAATAAGTTAGGGGGTGAGTATTCGTTCCACATGCTGCTTTCACCGGTCACATATTGCGGACAGGCTGGTCATTGTGGATTAGCTGATGTTACCACCGGACCTTCGTACGGTCTGTTAGGGATTTCAAGTACCTGGTCCATATCGAGTCGAGTCATATCTTCTGCGCGACTTTTCGGGTTTTTGTGGAGGCATCCAGCGAAGGTCACCGACAGGAGGCTGTCGCAATGATCTGGTTAGCAGAGATGGTCGTGTCCAAGAAGTCAATCAGCACCGACCTTGGCATACGGGATGCGCAGGAATTGGCGAACATTGGGGTAAGTATCATTCAGCATGCCGATGAAGGTGCCCGTCTGCGTCTCCACTGTCAAATTGGACCAGTTGGAAAGCGTCCGCGGGGGCTGCCAGGTAAGATTGGCATAATACGGAGGGTAGACCTCGGCGGACGCAATGGCAGCGCTCCCAAGAAGGGCGCCAATATTCCAAGATAGCTTCATGATCACTGCTCGCGGCTCCTGGCTGGTTCAGACGAATCCCAGATGATCCTTGGGCGCCCTTTCGATCCTTATATAGCTCCAAACATCCCGTGGGAAAAATCCTTCTCAAAGCTTGAGCTCCGTCATCCATCCCGGGCATTCAGAGAAATTCAGGAAGAAAGCTCAACAGTGCGGAAGTCGGATGATGTTTCTGGGACCGACCTCCGAGCTGGTATAGATGCGACGGACGCCAGAGAGGGCCGATTGGCGGAGGAAGGATCAGCGGATATGTCTTATGCCGGATGGTGCGGTGGTTCCATCCCCACGCCAGCCTCCCCGCGTCCACTTCCTGGGGATGGACGAGCGGCACTGGCCGAAGGGTCCCATTTGGTCCCAACGATGATGCAGAATGCAGCTTATTGCGGGGATTCGGAGAGAAGGGACGGGATGACCGACAAATCAGCAGTAGTTCCGTAAATTAAACATGACGGTGGGAGTGCTTGAGCCCATTCCGGATGAAGCCCGATTGATTCCACTGCCTGAAGGAATCCCCATTGACACTGGCACCGCATCTCTCGCTAGAACATTTATCGACCTCTACATAGGTGTTGCGTACAGTCCGACTGCATTGCCTTTCGAAAAGGATGACAATTTCACTAATTATATTGTCACATTATGTAACACACACGACCATACCAGATATCAAAGCTGACGAAAAAAAAACTTCAGCCAGTGGTTACAAAAGGTCTTCCGGCCAAAGCTATTTAGCCTGAAGCCCCCGAAGTGCAAGTGGCGCCCAAGCCAGACGGGGTGTTAGCACACAACACTTCAGACTTGCCCGATGGCGCCTTGACGTCGAACCCACTGATGGAGATGCCACACGTTCCATCCGCACCGCAATCAAGGTTGGCCACAACCGGGTCGTACTTGTCACTGGTTGTGCCACTGAAGCTTGACACGACAATATCCGTCAATTTGGCGTTGCCCGGGTTTTCCTCGCAATAGTCATCGTCCTCGCCATAGCAGCTCTGGATCTGGAAGGCGTAGTCGGAGTTGTCCACAGTGAAATCGTTGAAGGTCACATTGCTGACCGTGGAGGTACCGTGGTCGCCTCCACTCGGATAAGTCTTGATCCCGGCGGCTTTGGTGGAGTCGATCATAGTTGCGCCCGTGACATAAATATTCTTGACCGAATCGTCGCTTGACTTGCCCAGCGATCCCACGGAAATGCCATGGGAGCCGGTGCAGCTGATCGTGTCCACTGTCACGTAGTTGGAACTGGGCTTGAAAGCGACACAGTCATCATCGTTGACTACGGTGACCTCGGTGATGGTCACGTAGGTACTCTCGCCAATGTCGAACCCATCGGTGTTCTTGGGCGGATTGTCCGACTTGGAGTTGGCATCCATCTTCAAGTTCGAGAAGACAACGTTAGTGGCGCCACCCTTGACCGAGTTGAACACGTTAGGTGGATTCTTCTGACGCAGCCCGGTGATTTCCAGGTTGCTGCCGCCGGTGATGTACAAGAGCGTTGGGCGTGAGTAACTACTGTCCGAAGCAAAGAGATCCCACCTGGATTGGATCGGTCAGCCAAGTCAAGTCTTGCTTTTGAGAAGGGTGACCACATACGCATCCTGGCCATTTCCATCAATGACACCAGACCCAGTCAATGAGCGCAGTTTCATACCATCTACGTCGGAAACACTGATCATGGCAGTGCGACCGCTCCAGTAATCGGTATCGCTGGCGAACTTCAGAAGACCTTCCACCTGGATGTCGCAATCACTACAGCTGCCCAAGTCCAGCACACTGTTGAGGTAGTAGGTGCTGCCCTCGGGGAAGACGATGGTGCCACCATTTCCGCACGAGCTGAGCGCCTCGGTGATGGCGGGGACATCGTCGGTGGAGGAATCGCCTCCTGCGGTTGGGGTACAGACAGCGCGAGCGTGAAGGGAAGAATCCGGGGCTCGCTGGACCTTGGAGGGAGCAGCATTGCTTAGCCCAAGGCTGGCCAGAAGGAAGAGGTTACGGTATAGCGCCATGATAAGCGCTTTTGTGACAATGATTATGGATTACTCGCACTCTCGGAACAGGTGATCACTCCGGCGATGCCCAGCCCACTATATACGAGTCGCATCCTGCTCGGATGTATACGGAAAGTACCTCATGCGGCAGTAGTATTTAGTTGCAGCGAAATGAATCGGTGAGGATTGTGGGATGCCGAGGCAGACCCTGTCATCTCGGCTGGGGGTCAGCCTGAAACGAGCGGATGCTTAATTTAGAGACGGAGCTACCGCCGTGCCCTGACCATGTCATGGCCTGTTTAGTATCGGTTAATTGGCCTACAACAACTGGCATGGTCCTCGATGAACTGTGAACACGACTTTGCAATTTATTCTTATGCCGAACTGCCGACCGATCCCTGCAAGGCACGATGAAACCCCGCCCACTAACATGCAACACTCGACCGTTCCAGGAAGCAGAGCGGCCAGCTGACGTGCTGGTATGTCGATCCGGATAAATTGCAAGGGCTATTCCTCCGCCCCCTGCTGAGGGCTGAACCTGTCTGGTAGCTTTCCGATGGCACGCCGCCAATCGCTCCATTCTGCACGGATAACCGTCGGTGTCAACGGCGCGTTCCTGCAGGCGGAGGGTGCTTATTTGAAACGCCATGGCGTCCATTCCGTGAAGGGAAGATGGTTATTCATGGAAGTGTGGAGTAAATTCTCCGGAAATGGTGTCTCTTGGCGCTTGGCCGTCGTTTAGCCCCAGTGCCTTGTTGGCAGCCTTCTAGGGCGATGAGAGACATCTACAGGTGTCATGCCTTGAGCTGACAGCCTTGTGACATGTGCTCGGAAGCGGGTTATATAGCCACTTGGCATAGCTGTCGATTCCTTCCTTTTCTGACCCCCTGCTTGGACATCATTATCATATACAGCATCAAACCATCATGTATACTTCATACCTTCTGGGCACTCTTGCCGTCCTAACTGCTACCGCGGTCGGAGCTCCGGCAGAGCACATTAAGAAGCGAGAGAGTCGGACCAGTGCTCCCTCGGGGTGCCTGACGGTCGGATCGGACGGCACATATTCCACCATCGGCGATGCGCTTGATGCTCTGGGCTCATCGACTTCGTCCGCTTGCATTTACGTGGCTAGCGGCACATATGAGGAGCAGCTGACCATCGACTATGATGGCAACCTGACACTGTACGGTGAGACCACCGATACAGGCACCTACAAAGACAATGTAGTTACCATTACCCACACCATCTCGTCGTCGGATGCCGGCTCTCTCGACAAGAGCGCCACCGTCAACGTGGTGTCGGACGGGTTCAGCATGTACAACATCAACGTGGAGAATGGATATGGAGAGGGATCACAGGCGGTGGCGTACGTATTTTGACTTTCCCCAAAGACAAAGAGTGGTAGTTTAATAGCTTGGTAGTCTTGTCGGAAACGCAGATCAGCTGGGCTTCTATGGGTGTCAATTCAGCGGGTACCAGGACACCCTCTATGTCAAGGCCGGCACCCAGTACTACTCCAACTGCATGATTGAGGGTCAGTATATGTCCAGACAGCACGAGTAAAAATTGACTGACTATTCTAGGCGCGGTCGACTACATCTTCGGCGATGCATCGGTGTGGTTTGGCGAATGTGACATTGTGTCCAACGGCGCCGGTGCTATCACGGCCTCATCGCGGGAAACCTCCTCTGACTCAGGCTGGTACGCCATCGACAACTGCAACATTAAGGCCGCATCAGGTGTCTCCCTAACGGAGAAGGTCTATCTGGGACGGCCGTGGCGCGTGCTTGCGCGAGTTATCTACCAGAACTCGGTGTTATCGGACATCATCAACCCCAAGGGCTGGACGACGATGGCAGACGGTGCGACACCACTGTATTATGAGTACAACAACTCTGGAGCGGGATCAGACACATCAGACCGCGAGTATGAGTCCTCCATTTCCGCAGCAGTTGACAAGACCACGGTCTTGGGCGAGTCCTGGGGAGACTGGATTGATCGGAGCTACTAAGCGTGTTGTGGGCTGGACCAAAAATTAGACAAGCACCTCATCGGCGGCGCGATGAGGCCATCGTATGATCGGCCCCCACAATCAGTATAGCCACAACCTATACCTTAATATGACTTTAACATGGTTAAGAACTTGATTTTCCCCGCCGTTTCGGCAGTCTGGATCTCGATCCGAAATGGTCGGTTTTCAGCAGATCCCGCGCATATCCCGTAGAGATCCCGTCCACTCTGGAGTCAATTTCTGCTCACCACTCGGTATCTGAATGGCGTAATGGCCCCAAAATGTGGCCTGGGAGTTTATAAGACATCGGGATCTGGGGACCGCCCATAGTACTCTAGATTCTGAATCAGCACAACTAGCAACTCCATCCTACACCATCTTCACAGCACGGAACGATGTCTACCAGCTCCCCAATAGAGAGCAAGAATGCCACCGATGCATTCGATATTGAGCGACAAGCATCTGTATCTGCAACTGCAGCTGCGGTGCCAGTAGCACCCAAGACTCTCGGCGCAGGCGTAAGTCAGACCTCTACATTTACCTCGACTGTCGACTAATGTTGTTGGAATGCGCAGTCCGCGCTAGCTCTCGGCGCATTCGGCACAACTTTGACTACCCTATCCCTCAGTCTGATGGAATGGCGCGGCGTGACCATCACGAACGTCTACGTGGGCAACTTCTTCTTCATCGCAGCATTTGGACTGGTCATCACAGCACAATGGGAGCTCTCCGTGGGAAATGGTTTTGCATACACGGTATTTAGTGCATTCGGTATACCTACCTCATGCACACTATTCCCTTTTACCTCAGCATAAAAAGAATAAAAAAAAAGGCTAATCAGACTGATATTCTGAACAGGTCTCTTCTACGCTGGCTACGGCGCGATCCTCACTCCAGCCTTTGGGGTCGCACAAGCTTACGGATCCGACACAGCACAGTATAATAATGCGCTGGGGTTCTTCATGATACTATGGACTGTTTTTGTCTTCACGTTTCTGATTGCATCGTTGCCAATTAACCTGGCGAATATTGCAGTGTTCTTCTTTGTGGATCTGGGGTTCTTGACCGTGGCGGCGAGTTACTTTGCCGATGCGGATGGACACGCTGACTCGGCGAGAGCATTGCGCAAGACCGGAGGGGCAAGTTGTTTCGTGGCGGGGATGGTGGGGTGGTATATAGTGTTTCATCTGTTCTTGAAGGATAATAGTCTACTGGAGTTGCCGTTGGGGGATACGGGAAGATATTTTGCGAAGAGTAGGAAAGGGAGGGAAGAGTAGAGGGGCAATGCAGTGTAGTGGGGTTAGAAATGGATGGGATGCAGATCAACAATAGGAGTATCGTGGATCAGGATATAATGTATTGAGTTAATTGTTGTGCATTCAGATAAGGTTATGTTCCAAGCCAACCCCCGTAATTGCGCTGGTTGTGCCATTCTCAGCGGGATAACGACATCTCCCTTCCACTCAAACTATCCAACAACCCTGACCTTGTCGATCCACGATGCGATGTGCTCAAGCCCGCAGATGGCGTGATCCGTGCGCGTCATTTACAAGCTTCCATCGCAATCACAACCACCTCTGAACTACTTTTTGAGTCTATCTACAGACACTACTTATATGCAAGTAGTTGCCCTGTGCCACTATGTCCGCAGCAACTCCTCATAGCCCCCCTGAACCCCTCACTCTTCCACCTTGATATTCTCACCACCCACTATTACCATGACCCAATCCGACGTCCCAGCCACCGATCCAGCCGTCTACGAGGCCTACAAAACCCAATGGGCCTCATTACCCGACACTGCGGACGCCTGGTTAGCTCGGGCGCGTGAAGTAGCCACCGTACTAAGCCAGGATGCGGCACAGCGCGAGCAAGAGAACAAGTCCCCACGGGCGGAGGTAGCTCTACTCAAACATTCCGGACTGTTGAAGCTGCTGGGTTTCAAGAAATACGGCGGAGGCGAACAGCCCTGGAGCGTAGGATACAAGGCCATTCGCGAGGTGGCCAAAGGAGACGGGTATACACTCTCCTACCCATTCCATTCAATCCCACCCACAACACATCACAGCAATACTAACCAAAATCCACCAGATCAATCGGCATGCTCCTAGGCTACCACCTCCTCTGGTCCACAACCGCCAACATCGTCGGCACCCCCTCTCAAGCCGACCGCATCCACCAATGGATCATCACAAACAACTACTTCGTCGGCGGGGCCGTCAATCCCCGCGACAGCGATCTAACCATCACCTCCGACGGAGACGACATTATCTTCAACGGGGCCAAATTCTTCAACACAGGCGGTGTGGTCTCCGACCTCACCGTCCTAGAGGGTGTCCTGGAAGGAACAGGCGAGCACATCTTCGCACTCGTCGAGACCCGACAGGCGGGGATCAAATTCGCCCATAACTGGAATAACATCGGACTACGCTTGACCGAGTCCGGAGGAGTCAAGATAGAGAATGTGCGTGCGCCGTGGACAGATGCACTGGGTTGGGATAATGTGTTGAAGAGGCCGCGTGAAGAGGTTCTGGGCGTGCCGTTTGCGAGTTTGTTGCTTCCGACGTATGACATACTCTCCTTCCTTCACGTTATATTCATTGACGAATACCGTAATGCTAACCGAGAGCGCAGAATCCAACTCGTCTTCAGCAACTTCTATCTCGGCATCGCCCAAGGCGCACTAGCCTTCGCATCCCAATACACCGTGAGCACGACCCGTCCGTGGCCCTTCGGCGGGGACAACAAGGCCTCCGCGACCGACGAGTTCTACATTCTCGAGCGATACGGGAACTTCTTCGCGCATCTCCGTGCGGCAGAGGCGCTGGCTGATCGGGCTGGGGAGGAGATTTCATCCTTGTATCGCGAACACTCGGAGAATCGGCCTGGGTTGACGGCCAGACAACGGGGTGAGTTAGCCGAGTGGGTTGCCAGTGTTAAGGTGGTTACTACGGATGTGGGATTGAGGGTGACCTCGGGGATCTTTGAGGTTACTGGTGCGAGGGCGACGGCTGTGAAGGTCGGGTTGGATCGCTTCTGGCGGGATATTCGGACACATACCCTGCATGACCCGGTGGCGTATAAGAATCGCGAGCTGGGGAGGTATGCTCTGTTGGGTGAGGTGCCGGAGCCGTCGTGGTATACTTAAGTTGCATTTACTGATAGAGCTTTATGAATATACATGTTCCAACGATTGTATAGCTGAGATGTTGGTGTAGACTACTGTCACGAGATCCCGTAAAGTACGATTGTATACCACGGATACTGTGTAAGTGTACCATCATGTTGCTTAAAATGAAGCCCGAATATGAATGAAAGACAGCTACAGAAACCAATGAAGGTAGAGATATAGGGTTAAAGTTCAATTTCATGGCAATTAACTAACAAAGCATGCAGAGCGAGTAGTAATTGCTCACTCAGTCTGATTTCACGAGGAGATTTCTGCTACTCTCCCTGGACTACTTCATCTTCCCGCTTTGGCCGCGTTGACTGAAGGGCGGAATAACGGCCAAGATCACCGCACAGGAATAACGAGTGCCGATACTAGCCTCATTGCCATAAGATATGTGAGAAAATGTCATCTCCTTATGCTTGGCTTCGCCAAGCCAGGTAATGCCGGGGAGGTAGTATGACGGCCAGACATCGTTGGTCACCTGGCAAGTGGAAAGATTAGTTTTAAAGTCCACAAGAAGATCTGAGATGTAGCTTACCTCTTTGAGGTCTTCCTCCTGTCCGCGATCAGACCTAATGTACCTTTGGAGACGCGGAGCCACACGGACACCCCATTCCTCGTAGAGGCTGTTCGGCTTCTTTGGCAGGTGGTGCTTTTCTCCAAACGAGAAGGCTTCTATCACATCAACCACTTCGCGTGTCAACAACAAACGCTTCCAGTGCTGGTCCACATCAAGAAGTGCACTACTAGACTTCCAAGGGTACACTTCGCTATACCTGAGGGAAGACTCTTTGCCCTTTGCCAGGTAATCTTCCGGAACAGAACGCCGGTATTTTCTGTGGTACCACCCAGGCCCAGAATCTGAGTCTTGCTCAGAGCCTGAGTCCTGTTCAGAGTCGGCGAAGTAGGGTGCCCCATTATCTTCATAGTCTTCATCATATTCCAGAACCGGGAGGATGCTGACATCCATACCAAGCGCTTCAAAAACCGCATAGACGACAAGGTCGGCGCCCTTCAATGAACGCGGGAGCTGGAGCCCGGCTATATCCGAAGAATGGGGATAGGCATGGGAGCAGTGGACTCCAAACACGCCGCCTAACACAGACCATCAGACATGGTATATTCGGAGGACAAAGAAGACATTGATTGGGGGCAACTTACCATCTTTCATGAATCCAGGGGTGGTGAGTAGACTTTCAATCAACCCATAAAGTGGGAGAGTGTGTGGATCAAGCACGGGACGGATGGGAGCGAGTATGGCACCGGGCATTTCCCGTACATATAGGTTGTATGTGAGCGTGATCCGATGGCCCGCTCTGATCGTCTCGATTTCATGCTCGCAATCCGAGTAGAAGGCTGCCCATTGGATACTAGATCTACTTTGTCGGCTCCATTCAAACTTGGCCATCTGCCCGTGATGCTGCACAGTCAGGTTGCCTCCCTCGAATTGGCATGGCAAACAAACCACGAGTGATCCAATCTGGTGCTCCGAGCGTGGCGTGTCAACATGCTTTCGGAAATGCCCAGAAGGGCCCGAGTATACCTGCAGTGGTTTCAGTCAGCACATCATGATGTTAGGGACGGGAGCAAACGGACATTCAATTTATACAACTCAGCCTTCAGCTTGCGGAATTGCAATCGATTCTCGGTCTCACTACTGATACCAGGTAGAAGGATCTGCTCGATGAGCTCAATTATGCCAAAGTCGGCTGGGTGGAAGCTCGTCAAAAATCGGTCGGGGTCAAGCTTCCCTGCCCGACGGTATTCAGGGTCAAGGATGTCCTGCCCACCCCTACCAAAACTCGCAGGTTGGCAAGCATCAAGAAGTGTTTGGAGTTCATGGATTGAACCATCGCTGGTCTCACTTAGCACTGGGAGTGTGAGCTTTTGTGCGGTGGAGTCGTGCTCGGCACCCCAGTGAACCACCTGCACACGGGGTGAAGTAGGTCCAGCTGCTGCTTGCTCAGAGCCGTTGGGATTCGCAATCGGGATGTTGCCTCCACATGTAAACAAGGCAGACGAGGTTTCGCTCTCAATTGCCTCTCTCAACTGCTGGCATGCCTGTGTAAAGGCAGCAGTCGCTAAGGACGAAGATCCGGTGGTACTCTTCTCTTCCGCTGTTGCCACGCGTGCCGCACTCAAGGTATCTAGGATTCGATCCATGAAACCAGGTACAGGGGTTGCAAGGCCCTTTGTCTCACGCACGTCTCCCTTGGATTCCTGTTTTGGTCTATCCTCAGATTCAGTATCTGCTGCGTCGGTACCCTCAGTTTCCATATCATCTGTCTCCATATCCTCCGGGTCCTCATCAACTTCATCGAGACTATCTTTGTCGGAAGTTTGCTGCAGATATTCCCGGTCACAGACTACCCTGGAGCCGACAGCCTCCCATCGGCTATTGATCCTTCGAAGAACTTTCTCATTTCTAAGGACATCAGTGTTTTCCTCGACATAGCCCGGAAGAAGGCGATTCAAATTGTCTCTGAGTTCAGAGGCAATTTCCCGCAGCTCCTCGGCACCCTCCCCACTCCATTCCAATGGCTTTGGGTGCTTCTTGGGGGCTCTTCTTCCAAAGCCATAGTATGGTCTAGATTCCAACTGATTCAGGATGGAACGGTTTAGCCGGTAAACACGGACAAGGAACCTGTCAACGCAGGCATCTACTTTGCAGTCCTGTCAAATTATATCAGCACGTTTTCAGGATGGTCCAGACGCTATCATGATCGGTATATATCCATGGTAAAATAAAAGAGATATGGTAGAAAAAACAGAATGTGAAAGAACAAGCCTCAAAGATGGATTTCCACATCAACCAGCCAACACACAACAGAGTACTTACCTCGATGGCAGTCTTGTTGACCCAATCCTCCAGATCTACAAGGGTGCGCTCAAAATGGGCTGGCGAGCGAGACATTTTCCGTCTTGTTGATGGCGAAGGTAGTTGTTGTAGTAGACTTCGTGATGGGGATTGAAACAAACGGCAGCGAGTGAGGTGGGATGGGTATTTATAGTGGAGGGAGGAGAGTCCGGATGAGGTGAGGATAGGGCAAGAATGATGGCATGGAAGGTGCCGAGGGATGCATCACCTCCAGGCAGCAAGAGCGGCAGCCTGGAGCTTCAAGGTCTGAACAAGGGTAACCTGCATACGAGCGCTGCGGCACGTTAAATAAGTCACGCATGGCAATAGTTTAGAGTCTCGACTGGCAGTAGAGGCCGGATGAGTCCAGGCTGGTAAGTGTATGAACTGGGAAGAATCCGATCAACATCCAGCCTGGGCGTCGGGGTATTGAGTTAGTGTTGCACAGGTACGGGACGGGCTGTCAATGCAAGGAACTTCGTTTGATACTAAATTGCTCTAATAAATCTTTCTTCTGATCAAGGAAATATTGTATTGTTGAAGTACTCAGACACTATTGTCTTTTGCCTGTACTGGATCGAAATTCAACCTCGGTGGTGAGCGATACTAGAATAATTACTACCTGAACAGAAGCTTGAAATGGACTGGACACATGAGTGTTGTACCCCATTACTACTGCGATCGAACGTCTGTCCAAGCAGCCGAGTTTCACAATCGAAAGGACGGTAACCTTTGACCTACTAGCTTCTGCGATCGTAGCTGGCAATGTCTACTGGAAAGCATGACAAACTCGATTCTCCTGTTTCATAGTGCGCACAGATCCCTTATCACCTGCCTCGCGTGTAACCCAAACATCCTGTGCCATCACAGGCCAAATTTATGTAAAGAAAGCTATCGCTCTCATGCAGAAAATGGATATCGATCAATCTGACCTTCTCCCGCCCTCGGTGTGGATTCCTGTGTTTTAGATGCCTTGTGAGCATTCCACATGACATCAGGATCGGCGCCCTACGCGCCCTTAAGATATAAAAATCAGCGTCAGACATTCTCCCCTCTGACACCTTTCATATCCTGACAATGGTCGCATCAGCAGTATATACTCTTTTGGGGCTTGCCTCATTCGTCACCTCATCTCCCAGTCAACTAACCCTCACCTCCACCACACCATATCTTGACAACGCCAAGTCTGCCGTGAACACGCTACAGAAATGGTACAATCAAACTACAGGATTGTGGGATACGACCGGCTGGTGGAATAGTGCCATTTGCCTGACCGTCCTGGGCGATCTCACAGCACTGGATTCTTCGATGCTCAACTCGAGCTCAGCCACATTCAACAACACACTCATCCAAGCCCCGAAGTCCACTCTTTCCCATAGCGTTCGCAAACCAACGTCGCAATACAAGCGTCAATCACCCCTGAGCGATACTGAATCTGGTACTGAATTTCTCAATGATTACTACGACGACGAGGGGTGGTGGGCGCTGGCGTGGATTCAGGCCTACGATTTAACTCAGGATCAGCGATACCTGGACACTGCGGTGAACATCTTTGATGACATGACAGCCGGGTGGGATACCACATGCGGGGGGATCTGGTGGGACAAAAGTCATACAGGCAACAACGCTATCGAGAATGAACTGTTCCTGAGCGTCGCTGCTCATCTAGGGCGACGAGAAACCGATAACGCATCTTACTATCTCGACTGGGCAATGAAAGAATGGGATTGGTTTGAGAATAGCGGGTTGATTAATAGTCAATATACCATAAATGACGGACTGGATCTGACAAGCTGTCAGAATAACAATGGAACAGTCTGGAGCTACAATCAGGGCGTGATTTTAGGGGGACTGGTCGAGTTGTCGCAGCTAGCCTCAAATACATCGTATATAGCCACAGCGCAGCGGATTGCCGATGCAGCTATACAGACATTGAGCGATGCCAATGGGGTGCTCAAGGAATCCTGTGATCCGAACTGCACCGGGGATGCACCACAGTTCAAGGGAATCTTGATGCGAAATCTTCAGATGCTATACCAGGCTAGTCCTGAAGACGGGGTGAAGCAGTTTCTGCAGCAGAATGCCAATAGCATCTGGCAGAATGACCGGGGCGATGAGAATCAACTCGGCCCCGTCTGGTCAGGGCCTTTCACTGCGGCTAATGCATCTACGCAGAGTTCTGCCTGTGAAGCATTAGTGGCGGCGGCAGCCATTCGCTGAGCCGGCCATTCGCTGAGCTTATGTGTCACTGGAATAGTGCTTGCGCGTTAATAATGAAAGAGAGCTAGATTCACGCAATACATTCATGGGACTGTGCAGTGATTGCCCATCACGGGACTGATGGACATATCTAATATATAAAGGCTTGCCTCGCCGTCTTCTCCTCCAACTTCTGCATTTTCCTGAGATGGGTGAGTTCGAACCAGTGCGGCTGGGAGCAGAGAGTCTCAAGTTGGATATTTTGACGCGGGTCTGCCGTTCACCTCGACCTGTGATCGCCCAATCAGGCACAGAAGAGCACCAGCGCCGAGCAAGACAGTGAATCCTCAAACTGGCCATGGATTCTACTACTTTTCAGCTCCACGATGGAGTGTTGCTTCTATCTCACACTCTCCTATCTCACATTCTCTCATTTACCTTTCCCATACAACTCGACTGCTCATCTCGCTTTCCTACCTGGCCAAGTACGTCAGAGCAGTCCAAGGATGGAGGAGGAAACATCAGAGATGGAGCAACCAGACTATATACTCGATGACGAAGGCGAGATACTCATCGGTTTGATGTATCCCAATCAGCCCTTCGTTTCCTTTGAGCCAGGAGTAGCGCGCGAGGCCGGCTCCCAGGTCGTGGATTCCGAGCTATTGCAACGATGGATAGCAATGGCCACAGATGCAGGAATCATGGAAGAGAAGTATAAGAAGCTCTCGGTAGTTCCACTTATCGTTCAATCTGATGACCAAGTCGAGGCGAGTGAGCCGGAGAGTGGCATCTGGGGAATCGGCGGGCCACCTGTTGATATTCTTCCGAGCTCACTGCTAACGGAAGAGGAGCGACGAGCGCGCACACGTGTCAGGGAAGAGATCGAGAAAAAGATCCAGGCTAGAAACGATGGGAATGAGAGTGAGAGTGAGACCGAGGTCGTGGTTACCTTCCAAGCATCGGCGAAGCATCTTATGGCCGCGTCGCCGTACTTTAAGGCCCTTCTCTCCGCCGGCATGGAAGAGAGCGTTGAATTCCAGGCGGATGGAACAGTGCTGACGACAGCAGAATGTTGGGACGAATGCGCGCTTCTTTACGTCCTGAAGATCATCCACTGCAAAAGTCATGAACTTCCTGACAAAGTCGACTTAGATATGCTTGGCAAGGTCTGCGTCGTCGCTGATTATTACGATGTCAGTGATGCAGTACGCTTCGCCGCACGGCCCTGGATTGCGAAGCTCAACCCTTATGGGCCCGACGACGGCTATCGCGACGCTGTGATCTGGCTCTGGATCAGCATATTTTTCCAAATGCCGGGTGTCTTCAAGGCAGCGAGCTTGACTTTGATCAAGGAAGGAAGAGCACACATGCCACCTCTGGGTCTTCCGATTCCGGCACGTATCGTGGGTAAGTTTTCTATCTAATCAGTATAATACGGAGTCCACTGCTGACAACTCAATAGAAGAAATCAACGCCCGCCGAATCAAGGCCATTGAAGGATTGATGGGCCACGTCTATCGTGTGCAAGAAGAATATTTGATCGGGAAGAGAGGTTGCTCATTCGAATGCAGTTCCATGCTGTATGGGGCCCTTACGAAGAACCTTAACACACACAACCTGGCCAAATCGGACTTCAAGGCACCCTTCCTGTATCACAACTACACTTCTCTTGTGAACATCATTGATCGGTTCAGGCAGCCAAGATGGTACGATCCCAGAAGCTCGAAGTACCTGTGCTGGCAGTACCTCGAGCACGAATGCCATGATGCCCACTTTTGGGAACTTCGATTGGGAAGGTTCCTTGATGAAGATGGAATGGAACTGAAGGATTTCATTAAGACGGACTGACGACGGAATGCGGATCCTGACATTTTTTATTTCCTTTTGTGCGCCGTGGATACTTTGCTAGTGGGATAGTGAGGGGGTGTATTTGACTCAGGTGATGCATTCAGAAGTAGTAAACTACTAGTTGAAGACTGGAACTAGGAATGACATCTCAGTTTATTGTGCTTATCTTTCTTGACTATATCATATCTATTGCTGCCTCAGGCAGCTGTACTAATCATGTGCAGAGCTAGTCCCAGTCTAGAACGAGTGGGAAAAATTTGTCAGCTGAAGATTTCCCATCTGGGAAGTAATCAATCAGCCAATCAGAGAAGGCATAGCAACCGTGTGCGCACTGCCTGAGGCAGGTTTGCCTCCCGCAATAATTGAGAAAAGAAAAAGAAGGAAAATTGAAGGGAAAGTTGATTGTCGACAAGCCACGCTACTTGAAGCCAATATCATTATTATTTCTTCGGGTGTCGGCTGTAATGCATTCATGGTATCGATAAGAAGGTCTAATGCGGATATACCACAAATTTCGAGACAATGCCCTATCCAAAAGTTTCATTCCAGCTACAGAAGACCAGTCTGCATCTTAAAATCCATCCACCGCAGCCATCCGATGGTGTCATGTATAAGGAATATTGCGCATACTGCAGCATTCATGGCTGGCTGTAACTCCCATCTGTGCTGTCTGCAGCATTCGATGGCTTCGCACTGCTTGCGTTCCAGGCTTTGGCATGGAAGATCCGCAGTATCCACTGAGGTTTGCGGTTCCATGCTACTGCCGTCGTCATTGGCTCCTTCACGATGATGGCAAACCGATTGACCATTCAGACGTGATCCGAGTGGACCCGAATCGGGCAATGGAGATAAGAGCTCGCTGACGAACTGCAGAAAAAAATTGGGAAGAGGGACAGGAAGAAAAATGGGGGAAAATGGCGTGCCGAAATAGCCAGCTCGTCTGCGTAACAACCAACCCAAGTCTCCGAGTCTCAGTGACCCTAAGCAGCACCCCATCATGAGTTTATCAACAACAACAGTCGAAAAACGGCTCCTCGCAACCGCAGAGCACCTCAATGTCCCTAATAAATCCCAATCAACGTCGGTTCCGTGGGTACATCCCCATTTAGAGCAGGACGTGGTGCCGATTAAAGGCCGCCAGCTGCGTGCCTCCCAACCCATCCGCCAGGGCGAGCTTCTGATGATTGACGTGCCCTATGCGCTCATTCCCGTCGTCGATGATCCGGCCAGTAGCGATAGTCTTCTGTGCAGCAACCCAACCTGTAGTCGTCAGACGCAACACGGTTCGGGACGAATCTCGTGTCCCAATCGCTGTCTCACAGATGTAGTCTGGTGCGGTCCGACCTGCCAGGAAGCTGATCAATTGCGCCATGAATTCGAGTGCACCTGGCTGCAGAGATACGCCGCTCCCATCCGCGCAAAATGGGGAGAATATAACTTTGGAATGATGTGGCTGATTGTCCGCATCCTCGCTTCCCGACACATGGAGCGACAGCAGCCGTCTGATACAGACAATGAAACGAATCAGCGATTCAAGGGTGGCTGGGATGCTATTATGTCCTTCTGTGGCTCGATAGACAGCTGGGCCCATTCCCAGGTACGGTCATGGACGGCGTTGGTCAAGAAGTACCTTCGCAGTAGTCCGGTTCTGTCACACGGCTTGAGTGCCGACGACATCGTTGCTCTGATCTGCCGGGAGGAAGCCAACTCCTTTGGCTTGTATCCACGGGAAACGGGTGTATATCCAGTCCCAGAACCCCCTGTGGACCGGGGAGAGCAGTTTGCTGCGGCCGTGTATCCCCGAGCAGCGATTGCCAACCATTCGTGCAGTCCTAATGTAAGCGCTCCCAAGTCCCTCCTTGACCATTAGCTAACACGACCGACCAAGATCATGCATAAACCAGACCATCACGGACGGATGGTATTCACTGCCTCGAGGGACATCGCAGCCGGCGAAGAGTGCTGCATATCCTATTTCGACCTCAGCAAACGTGTTGATCTTAAGTCCCGTCGTGATCACCTCCAGGGTCTGTTCAGGTTTGTCTGCGGATGTGACCGATGTTCGGCTGAGGAGCCATCGGAAAAGGAGTCCGACTGGGTTGGACTGCCTTTCTTGGAATAGAGTGTTTGCACCAAGATGCTTATGGGCCCGATGATGGCTAGTGTTTTCGGGATTTTCTTGGCTCGGTTTCTTTCATTGCAGTTACAGCGCCGACGCATCACCAGCTGGTCCTGGTATGAAGTTATATAAATGATTGATAGAAGAGATGATAAATATGTTTGGTTAGAGTTAAGACATCCACGTGTTCCGTGACTTCATAAATTATGCCAATTCCCCGGGTCCGACTCAATAGTTCACGCGACATGTGCTGTCGATCGGGTTGTTAGCAGCTAATTTAGACTCCTTCCTCGCGTTCTTCTAGAACCCTACAAGACATCTCTCTCGGGATAAAAGAAACGTTAATGTGTTCCTCCTTCACCAATTTTCCGGCCAAGATCAGGCTACACGATCGCCGGCTGCCCAACATCTCGATTCGATAACAGGCCAGGATGATCGCACAGAGCTATCTGCATCTCAAGTGGATGCCCTCCTCTCATAGGCCGAACCCCGCCCGAAGCGCCCTAACGCCGTGCTCCTAATGCAAGTACGTGGGGGCAATCTCAAACTTCAAAAGCGGTATGATCGAGTGCTGGCGCTTAAATAAAAGGTAATGCTCGTGATTAGGAATGTGAGCATGTGCAGCTGTCAAACATGGATACCAAGTACCGCCAACCTGACCCTGGCGTGGCCGAGACCAGCGACTATGCTTCAGAGTCTCCGGAAACCCCGAATATCACGGCCGGATCGCAGCATCTGCATCGCAAGCTGGGCGGAAAAGAGGTTCAGCTCTTCGCGGTCGGGGGAGCCATAGGAACATGTACGTGTCGGCATGCCGGTGGCATAGAAGAACCAAGGCCCCAAACCCCCGACTAACTGTCTGCAGCGCTTTTCGTCCAGGCGGGTGCTATGTTGCCTAAGGCAGGTCCAGCAGGTCTTCTGATTGGGTTCCTCGCATACACGCCTATCATACTCGCTGTCAACCAATGCTTTGGTGAGCCTATATCATTCGAACCTTTTCTCCTGTGTTCGGCAGAGCTGAGCTGACCCTTGCAGCGGAGATGGTCTGCTATGCGCCCATACCCTCTCCATTCATTCGCCTCGCCGGTCACTGGGTAGATGATGCCCTTAGCTTTGCCATGGGCTGGAATTTCTTCTTCACCATGGGTTAGTGGTAAACCCTCTCAGCAGATTGTGGAAGGTTAACCTCAACAACAGCATTAGGGATTCCGTACGAGATCGTCGCTATCAACATCCTCCTCACCTACTGGACGGATCGTGTACCTGTAGCTGCAGTGGTGGTTATTATGCTGGTGCTTTACACGTGGGCACCTCTAATCCCAAGACCATTTTATCTTTGACATGACTGATTCGGTCTCAGGCTATTGAACGTATTCACTGTTCGCTTCTTTGGAGTGTCAGAGTTCTATCTGTCATTTTTCAAGATCTTCCTCATGGTCGGACTTCTCCTATACACTTTCATAACCATGGTCGGAGGCAATCCCCGGCACGATGTGTACGGCTTTCGATACTGGCGTAATCCGGTGACTACATCTCTCATCGTTAGGCACAATCCAGACTGATGATATGCCACGCAGGGGGCATTTGTGTCCTACATTGAACCCGGGAGCATCGGGCGCTTCTGCGGCGTTCTAGCATGTATGATCCAAGCCTCATTCACGTACGACCAACCCATCCACCTAACCTCCATCTACTTCCAAAACTTACCACTGCGACAGTATGGTCGGCCCTGAGTACATATCCATGGCCGCGGCAGAAGCCGCACGGCCACGACGAGTAATGCGCAAGGCCTACGCATCGTACCCCTGGCGACTAGTTACATTTTTCATCCTGGGTGTTCTATCAATGGGTATACTCATACCTTACAATGATCCTACATTGGCTGCGACCTTAGGAGGATCGGGGCACGAAAGTGGCACGGGAGCTGCGTGAGTCCGACCCTACCCAAATGAATTTATCCAGACTCTGCCCTCTAACACCCATATCTTCTCCAGCTCCCCCTACGTAATCTCCATGAACCACTTCAACATCCAGGTCCTCCCGGACATCGTCAACGCCCTAATCATGACCTCTGTCTTCTCCGCCGGCAACAACCTGGTCTTCTCCGCCGCGCGAACCCTCCACGGCATGGCCCTCGAAGGCCGCGCCCCATCCCTCTTCGCGCGCTGCAACCGCAACGGCCTCCCCTACTACGCCGTCGGCGCCTCGCTAGCATTCTGCCTCCTGGGCTTCCTCCAAGTAAGCAACAGCTCCGCGACCGTACTAAACTGGCTCGTGGGAATAATCGTCGCCTCGTACCTGTTAAACTACGTCGGCACATGCATTACATACCTGCATTTCTACGCGGCACTGCGCAGACAGGGTATATCCCGGGATACACTCCCATATAAGGGAGTGCTGCAACCGTATGCGGGGTGGTTCGCGCTGGTGGGCACGATAGTCATGACGCTGATTATTGGGTTCGAGATATTCCTGGATGGGCAGTGGGATGTGCAGACGTTCTTTTTGGATTATACCATGGTTGGGTTTTTTGTGGTCGCGTTTGGGTTTTGGAAGGTCGTGAAGAGGACGAGGTATGTCTGGCCTGGGACGGCGGATCTGGGGCTGGGTGGGTTGAAGAAGGAGATTGATGAGTATGAGGCTGGAATGGTGGTTCCTGTGAGGAGGGGGGTTGCAAGGGTTTGGTATGGGTTGTTTGAGTAGGTTGATTTGGGGTTTGGGGAGTAGATGGGATGGGGATGCTTCGTTGCATAGGAATGAGGGTGTTGCGCATAAGGTGCAGTGGAAAACCGATCCTAGTAATTGCTATAGATTATATCCTATAGGTTCTGCTCCGTAACTAGTCGGTGTATGGTAGATCGAACGATGGCCCCGTGTTCTGCCGGGTGGTGTGCACTCTCTCAAGCCGCGACATTTCCTCCCTGATGCGCTCTCCAATTCCTTCTGGCTGCGTCTCTGATGGTTCCCCTTCTTCTGCCTCTGCCACCCCGGCAGGTCCCTCCTCTCCATTAGTACCGGGGGTTACCTTCTCTGCCTCTCCTTCCGCATCAACAGCCAAACGCTCCTGCGATTCCTTCTTCTCCTCCTCCGCCAACACCGCATAATGCGCCCGCCGATACACCCCAAGGCTACTGAGCACCATACCGACAATATCATACGCGAATAGAACCGGCAACGCATAATCCAGTTGGGGATTGCAACCACCGGACCAAATATCCACCATCACCTGGAAGATAGCATGCGCGGGAAGCGCATATCCCCATTTGTAGAACCCTGGAGACAGCTCGAACGGCAACAGAATTGATGAAACATTCAACACAACCCATGAAATAAGGGCCATGGGAACGAATGGCGGTGCTAGCCAAATAGTAAATACATCCAAGACGAGGAAGTTCAGATGCGCGAATAACCACAGCGCCATCCAGGTTATCATGAACTGGGCGCCGTTGACGTGCCAGCCATATCGGAAGGCCCAGATGGCGCCAGTAGTGCAGAGCGAGCCGATGAAGGTGTATGTGGCCGAGATGAGCTGACGGATGATGGCGATGCGGTGCGCGTCAACTGAAGTGTACAGGTGGAATTGCTGATAGAGACCATTGAGGTAGCCAAGGTAGAAGAACTCTTGGATGAGGATGAGGATGACGACTAGAGTGTTGTAGATGAGGCGGGAGCCTTGGGTGGTGGGTTGGATGTTAATAGTGGAGAGCGTCCAGGGGTCAGCGAGGGTGGCGATGGCTGTCTGGTCAGAGGTGTTCATAGTTTGAAGGATGGCAGGACCGTTGGTAGTGGTGTAGATGATGCGAGCAGCTTCAGATAACGACAGAATGTTGGACTCGATAGCAGAATCTACGACGGTGGAGTAGCGCGCCTCATTCCAGACTAGGGTCATGACATCACTTTTATTGTAGGTTGCTGTCCCGATGCCGGTGAGAGCAGCTGATAGGCGCGAGGAAGCATTCTCGACGATGTACAGACCTCCCCAGTAGTGAATATTGCAGACGGTGGAGACGATCGACGCAGGATTGGGATAAGCCTGGACTGACTGTTCGCGGAGGGTGGGGAAGCCGGATCCTTGCAGCTGTTGGTAGGCAGTGCGCACGGCCTGACCGATGGCCCCACCATCGTAGTCAACGAAGAGGACATTGAGATTATGAATATGAGTGGTCTGTTGACAGATGGACCCGAACAGATAGCAGAACAGACCAAGGAAGAGGAGTTGTAAGATGAGCAGGTTGATGGTGGCAGCCTTGAGGACGGCTAGACGCAGCGGGCGCACCTCCGGGTCGTGGATGCTGCGGTGAGGGCGTTGACGGGCAGCAGCATACAGGGCCATGGGTGTATCCTAGGGACGGTCTAATTTTCTTCTATTGAGATATAACCTCCAGAGGTCGTGAAGATACGGCAATCTCCCGGTGTGAGTCGAGGGCTGAGCCGGAATCGCGGGGAAGTCAAGTCGGAGGGAGATTCCATGGTTGAGCGATGGATACGAGAACCGGTCGTTGAACCTTGTTTGTTCCTTCTTTGGAAGGGTTAGTCATCGAATTAGATGGATACGGGACCTTGATACTTACCAAAAGTAGTCACTGTCTGCGCTCTATAGCAGTGCATATATGTAAAAAAAGTGCTGTCTTAAAAGTGCTTCTCATAGATACTATATACAACTTCCGAGGCCCACTACCAAATTGAGCGGAAGTACCCCAGGGCTTCCGGTTGAGAACCAATGCCATGTCGGTAGCACAGAATATGCATATCAGCTCGAATCTCCAGTTTAGTACTACTGAACAAAGCAATATTGTAGGATAATGAGTAGTAGACAGCCGAATTGAAAGGCAGAACCACGCAATTTCCCAATATGACTGCCATTCGGCAGTGACAATATCCCCAGCGCTTGGACCTTCGCGTCGCTTCCATAAGATCCCAGGCCCTGACTAGTAGGAATGACCTACCAAGAGGGACAAGGACACCTAATTAATAACGGGCAAGTCCCGAAAAGCTCTTCGTTCGCTTGTATCTCAATCGAATCACTGGAAGCTGTATTACGTGGTAGGAGTAGTATCGTGTGCCAATGACACAATCTATAAATATTATTACAGCTCCCACTGGCGCGTCAGCATCATGGCACCAGGTGGCAATAGTTCTCATCAGCCATCATTAAAAATTGCCCGTCGGTAACGAAACATTTCCGCCCACGAACAGCTGCATAGCCATGTCACAAGGAGTTCATCTTTTACAGAGTGCTTGTGCTCTATGCGGGGACTGGCCAACAGGTGGTGAACGGATAATAAGTGAGCTTTTGGCCCCTCAAACCTCGCGCAGTATCATCTAACCCAATCGCAGACCTTGACGGGGACCAAGTATCTTTCCAGACTGTAAGTGAGTGCGGGATTGAATGCATAGAGTGTGGTGGCAATCCAATCCCAAGACTTTGGATTCACACCCGGTGTTATCAGCTTCTGTTGGCCAGCTTCGACCCATCTGACAGACCCTCGATGAAGGATATAAAGGATTACGCTGTTGACACGGAATTACTTTATGGCAAGAGTTATCCACGTAGACATCCCGGAACAATTCTGGAGGGTCTCTCGTCTAAACATACCTCATGCATTATCGCAGAGTCCTTCAAGCAAAGCTTTTTTGATGAATTGCCCCCGGAGATGCGACGCAGGATCGCGGGGTTCGTTGGACCATGCTGGTACTTGGCTGTCCTAGGCGAGGCCCGCCGGCTCATTGAATATATTCGACAGAGCGAAGAAATTTTGAGTGAAGAGCTCCACCTCGACAAAGACTTGTGGATATCGCGGATTGTTTGCCAAGATCATTGGTACCTGTCACATATCAGCAATATACCAATTGAGGCAACTGAAGGAATGGAAGTTTTCCATATACAGCTACCCCAGACCATTCACAAAATTATCGCTTCAACGGACCACATTGGTGTGCGATGGATCCAGTTTCTCGACCGTGAAGCTACTCCGACACAAGATCAGTCACCATGGTACGAGATATACGACGTGGAAAATTTTGAACCAAAGCTGGGGGATGTCCGTACTGTAAGCAACTCCATCCTCAGTATCCGGGCATTAGCTGACCTACTTAGCGTCTCATAACAAAGGAGATTAAAATCTACGATGACGAAGCAACACGTCTCTGGCCGTTGACGTGGACCTCCCCAATTACGCCCATTTTCCACCCATTAGCAGGTATCATACATCACGACTTACAGATGGCTAAACTCCACCATATGAAATTTGGAAGCCAAGTAGAAGGCATTCTTGTCGTCTGCGATGGCCCTGTTGACATAGTCGGGATCCACAACTTCTCGGGCCGCAACAAAGCATTCTGGGAGTTTCTCGAACAGGTGCATGCCCGTAGAGAGCCATGGATGAACCCATCTTTATACTGGTTCTATTTTCCGTTGAATGACCAAGAGAAGATCCAAGGGGTTTTCGCTCGGAAGTGGGAACACCCCGCCAGTCGAACAAACATTGATGGTTTGATTGTAAGTGCTCCCATCCCATGGCTGATCTCAGGGACTGACCGGCTAGGTACATACATTCTTCGGGAGAGACATGACATTCGGAGCAGTATTTCCACGCACGTTTACTAGAGATAGTAAATACATCCCTATGGTTCGGCACACTGATGGTCCAGTTTCCGGAATAATTCACGATGGCATGGATTTAAGCCCCCACAGCATTGCGGTGTATGGGGTTACCCGCCATAACTCACATAATGGCGAGACTCCAGCCTCGGGCCTAATACGTTACCCCATTGGGCCTCCAGGGGCCCATCCCGGCGTCGACCTCGTACCATGGTATATGACCAAGGCCACATTAAGGGGCGTGATTAAGGTACAAGTGTGCAGGGACCGGACACAGTCGCATCATCCTTGTCTGGGTATCTTGATGTTCTATACCGATGGTCACATCGAGTCCAATGGACAGATTCGCTGGGATTACGGACTGGAAGAAGAGATATGCAGTCCTTTCGTAGTCGCCCTAGGAGCGATTAAATAAAAAGGACGCTATCAAGGACATCAGAAATGCAGAAGACCCAGTAGTGGCCACTCTGCATCGGGGTGAATGGAAACTTCTACCTAGTCAAGGGATACTCGCATGGTGGTTTAGTGAGTTGGGCGATAGACTTGTGGTTTATTATTAGTGGGTACTACATGGCTTTTTAAAGCTTCCACAAATCCAACTCAAGTTCACGTACACTCCAGTGCTATTGAATTAACACAACGCTTCGATTGAAGCGACGGCGCCTGTAGACCTGCCGAGAGTAATGCGCAGGATGACCATGCCATGTGAAATTGTGGCTTTATGGCCTACGCTTCTTTTCAGTGACTCGATGCATCCAAAAGCATCGAATAAGACAGATGTCAGTAGCCACATAGATAACTCGACTTCGTCTTTAACGGAATATTATTGAATGTCATCATGATATCGAAACTTCTACCATATCAGGTAATTGGTACAGGAATCTTCACATACGTTGCGCAGACACATGATCAGACAATTTTGCTGCGTCGTTGTGCCTGAGAACTCTATCTACGGAGCATATGAGAGAGAAGACTGTTGGCTTATGGAAAGAATAAAATGACCAAAATGGGATGAACAAAACTGCATCGCGACCACAGATATTCATTCAAGAATTCTGATGGAGGATACAGGAGTCAGCTTCTGCTAACAATTTCTCATAATCATATGCTCCGCATTCATTCTTCATCAACTGGACAACTTCATTGATCCGGGAAGCCCCAGGCGAGTGAATATCAACGTAATCTCGAGAATCAGACCCATCCACCGAGCCAAACAGCGGCTCCAGCCATTCATCCTCCCTTGAGCACGACCATGCTCTACACTTAGTACCAAATGCCGTGAACGCGTACACCTTTGACAAATTAGGGTGACTTAGAAGATAGGCCATACAGACTGTGAATGCATGTCTCATAAGCCCATCAAGATCCTGAAGACTCGGATCCTTCGCCACAGGTTCATAAACGCAAAAGGCCATCGTATCGACATCGACACTGTCATCGCGCATATCATAATGCTCTATGGTAATATCCAGGCGTTGACGGGGCGAACTCCAATCCGATTGTGGGTAATCCCTTGATGGTGGACCAATATTACCTACCGCTAGCTTTGAAGGTCTTCAGAAGTTTTGTCCCTGCGGCTCATTTGCTTCAGATGAAGAGCTTTGGAAAGAGATGGAGGGTGCATTGTATGAATCTGTTCCCGAGGCCGTGCGGAGACTACTCCGACGTCGGATGCCGCCGGCTACGCCGTATACCTTTACACATGGGGACCTTAGCTATGGCAATATCATGGTAAAGGATGGCTCTGTTACTGGAATCATTGATTGGGAGACGGCCGCGTACATGCCTGTATGGTGTGAGTCTCTTTGTGTCTCATTCTCGGGTTGCGAGGAAGATGAAGAGTGGAGGATGTTGTTGCGCAACTACATGCTTGATTATGATGCTGCATACAACTTCTGGCACCAGTATCACTATCTCTGTCTCGATCCAAACATATGGGGAAAGCATTTCATCGACGAAGCCGAGCGTGAGGCTCGTATGAATGGAATAGATCTTATTCATGGGATGATGGATAGGGTATCTTTAGAGGGAAGATGCGGCCCTCATATTTTAAGGCTAAGATGCCATAAAGCAGAAAAGTCAATTTTGGTAAATAATCACGTCGAATAACAGCTGCAACTAGTTAGTACACAACATGTCAAGGGCGAGTTTATATGCTACCTACCAGCGCATAGAACGTATCAGACACACACTAAGCCCATTGTGGTCTAGTATCTATGCAGGGATGATGCCTTGGCTCATGTCACACATCCATTATTTGCCTTGATACCACAACAACCACGGAGAATACAATGTTCTCCATATTGAGAGGGATCAGAAGGATACGACGGTCTCAGTCAACAGCCCCGCTATCCATCCTTTGTCGCGGTAATTGCCCGTCAAACAACAAAGCTAACATATCTAAGTTACTGATACTCAAGTAGGAAAACCAATCAGCCGGGATGAACTCTTTGCATATACAAACGGCCGATTCCTGGTCAATGAAGAGTATCAGCTGGCTCGACGCTACGCAAAATTCGATCTCAATGCTCTCTGCAGTGTAGCTGCGGCTGTGGGTGACGTTCCATCTCCCGTGGCAAGCGTGAGCAAATTGGAGGGTGGATTTAGCAAGGCTCTCCTGATGAGAAAGGAGAATGGGTCAGAAGTCGTTGCTAAGATCCCTTGTCGAATTGCTGGACCTGCAGGGCTGACAACTGCATCCGAGGTGGGTGTCCTTGAATACTGTATGTCGTCCTTCGCTCTCTCTTTTTCTCCGGCGCATGTGATCACTGATGGGACTGTGAAGTACGCAGAAATGCCACAATCCCGGTTCCCCGGGTACTGTCGTGGTCTTCAGACAGGGGAAATTCCGTGGGTTCCGAGTATACCGTGATGGAAAAGGCTAGTGGTGTCCCCTTGTTTCGTGTGTGGGGTGACATGACAGAATTCGAGAAGTTGCAACTTATTCAGAACTTGACCAAGCTCGAGGCGCAGTTATCAGCTATTCGTTTTCCTGCCTACGGTGGTTTATATTTGCGTGACCATCTACAGAACTCAGGTCATCGGTGTCTACAGCTAGATGACCATGTCGATCCATCGCAATCATTCTGTATCGGCCCTTCTCCTGACCGTCAATTCGACGTCCAGTCGGACCATCTTAAGGATCAAGGCCCTTGTTCGTCTCTGCACCTTTAACGTTACTCAAACTTACCATTCATAGGGACCACATTACCGGAACTGGGTATATTCATTGCAAAGCGCGAGCTATCCCGAATCTCAACGATACCAAACAATTCAGCCATGTTCTATCGAGGCACCTTGGAAGAACAAGCCCAGCTTCTCGACTTCACGATACGCCTAATGCCCATGCTAGACTCTCATCCCTTACTAGGCCAATCCGCACAGCCTACACTTTGGCACACCGATCTACACATGGGTAACATCTACGTTGCGCCCGACGACCGCACACGAATAGTTTCAGTCATCGATTTCCAGTCCATATCAGTTATGCCCTTATTCCTCCAGTCCCGATGGCCCGAGTTCCTAAAGCCCCCAGAGAATTACACCCAAGGCTTCACGAGTCCTGAGCTTCCTGATGGGTACGACAATATGGACGATGAGAACAAGTTGCTGGCTCGACGCGAATGGTCGCAGGCAAAACTAGCAAAAGCATACGAAGTTGCGACCTACCTCGAGAACCGACCCGCACATATTGCAAGAAACGTGCCGCGAGTGTTCCGAGAATTGTTCACCCGGTGTGGGGAGGTGTCTGAGGTGGGAGTTATTCCCCTTCGGGCATGTCTGATGGAGATATTTCAGAACTGGTCCAACCTAGGCTTTACCGGATCGAGTCCATATTCCTTCACGGAAGAAGAAATACAGACGCATGAGCGACAGTTTGCTGAATACCAGGCGTGGCATCGAGTTCAGCATCTTGCACAGGAGTGTCTAGATACAGACGCTGAAGGATGGATATCACCTGAGTTAGACATCAAGGAAAAGCGACGCCAGAACCGGGAGTTACTGGCGATGTTTATCGAGCGTATGGCGGGAGAGAAGTCACCGGAGGAGGCGAGGCAGATGTGGCCGTTTCCAGATGACGCTTAATACCAGTTTCCATCCATTATACATATAAATAGAGGATAATAACACACTTCCACGCCTTAGTATACGCGTTTCGCGTCTCATCCAAAACAACAATAATAACAAAACATCACAGCAAGCAAGGAACACTACCTTCCCAATGTAGTTAGTCTACCCCTTACTCATCCAATGACATAATCACCGCCCGATTCCCGTCTAACCCAATCAAGCAACTCTATTATGCAATAAGAACCAGTAGTAGTGACCTGACCCTCTTTAGTCTTAAGTCTTAACTTGAAATTCCCCGTCCGTCCGTCCCCATCCCATCTCCCCCCAGACTGAATCGCCTGTCCCCACAGTCCAACGTCACCGTCCTCCACGACGGGTCCTGACATGGCACAACTTGGCATATTATTATTCTCCTGATATTAATATCCTGGTGGGAAGTGGGAAAGAGTCCACGTATGTGACGTTGACGTATTCTCCTTCTTCCGGTGGTTGCCGGCAGCCATGAGTGGCCTAGTCTGCGACCGGGGGTATGTTCGCCATGTAGATTGTTGTAGCTCTTAGGGATGGAAATAGTGCTTTATCATTCGGATGTGGTTCATATTATGTAGTTGATATAGTATATAATGATGCTGCGAGGTTCTTAGGGGTTATGTTGGGGCTGTTTGGAAACAGAGTGCGGGGTGGTGGATGCATATATATATTAGTATGGGGCGAGCAGTACTATGAAGGATCAACTGAGTATTGAACGTCAACGTCAAGGCCCAGTGGCCTTAAGAATCAGGTTTACAACTATGAAAAGCGTGGGTAGAATATAGAGGAAAATAATAACGTTGTAAAAATCTAATTATATCATAACGTCATACTAATGCATTTATATACAGACAGACACTTCGGTAGGACCAGACTAGTGCGGACTATCCTCATCCGAGTCAAAGTGCTCGCGCGCCCAAGGACTGCGCAACCGAATGGCACGACCCTTGTAGAAGAAGATGAATGGAATCGGCACAAGCAGAATGGCGATAAAGCCCAGCAGACTGGACGCCCACTCGTAGTCGAGCTTCTCGTACATCTGCGTAGCGAACAGGGGGAAGCCAGCACCGACAAGGTTCCGGACGAGGATGACACCGGCCAACGCGGAGGCAGAGTAGGTCTGGTAGCTGTCGACGACATAGTTGAGGATACTGAGGATGACGATGTAAAGACCCGCACCGAAGAAAGACGACGCAATGATGGGGACGATCCAGTGCACGGAGCGGTAACTGGTCCAGCCGAACCAGAACAGACTGATCGGGATGAGCAGCGAGCCGACACGGGCCATCCACATGCGCGCTTCCGGGACACTGCGGCCACTGTTCTCGGCCACGCGGCGCAGGTAGTACCGCTCCTGCAGCGGGGACAGGGCGCAGGCGATGATAGGGCCAATGGCCATACCCAGGAAGCAGAGACCCTGTTGACCGACGTTGAAGCCGTGGCCGTTGGGTTCGCCAAAGACGAGAGGGAAGGCTTCGTTGAACAGGTAGACCAGCCCGTAGAGGAAGCCGTTGTAGATGGCGGAAAAGGTGGTGATAGGCTCAGTGAACAGGAAGCGGAAGGGACGGGTGAGGGTGATTGCAAACAGCTGGTGCAGGCCCTTGCGGTCTTCTGCGTGGAGGTCGGTGGTGGTCTCTGCGGAGCGCAATCCCTCGCGTTGCATCTGCTTGCGCACGCGGGCGGCCTTGCGCTGCAGGATGATGCTGTGGCGCGTTTCCGGGACAGTCAGGACCAGCGCAATCCAGGTGCCACCAGTGATGGCCATCATAATCCAGAAAATCCAGTGCCAGTTCAGGTTCAGGCCGATGTAGCCGCTGACCACTAGGGCCATGGGCGGGCCAAATGTACTGCTGAGACCGTAGAAGGCCATGGGGCCACCACTGTGGTTACGCTCCCACAGATCACTGATGGTACCACCAGTGTTGGTCAAGGGGGCACCACCGGCGAAACCGGCGATGAAACGGCAGACAATAATGGTGCCAATGTTAGGTGCCAGTGCGAGAGGCATCTGGAAGAGGGACATGATGAACCACGAGACGATGTAGACGGGCTGACGACCGAAGTACTCGGAAAGAGGAGCCAGCAAGACAGGTCCAATGGCATATCCCAGCACATACATGGACAGGCATAATGTAGTGACTTCAGTAGACACGTGGAAATGTTCCGCGATGCCGGTGGCTCCGGAGGAGAAGGAACCGCAAGACCAAGTGCTGGATTTGGGTTAGTAGGGTCGAGACACAGGCGGTTAGCAGTAGACATACGTGATAACGTTCAAGAAACTGGCAAACAAGGTAATGTACCACTTGCGCCAGTAACCCCAGCAGCGCGGGTTGTCCCGATCTTGCGGGCCAAAGGTGATACGCAAGGGGAGGGCTTCATCAGGCTGGTTCCTGGCGCGAGCCAGAGCTTCCTCCTCGGTGACGACCAGCGGAAGAGTCTCACGGTGTACATCCGAGATCTCTTGCTTCTGGTCGGCAGTGGCGAACAGGTCGCCGACGTGAGATTCCTCGGTCATGGTCGCGACGCCAGGCACGGAGAGATGTTAGGTTAACAGGATACAGAACAAAAAAGTTAGATCAGATCATCAGGGGAGGAAATACTTTTAATAAGGAAAAGAAATATCTGCGGCGCGAGGGGCAAAAGGGCATCAGCAACCCGCCGCGTGACGTTCCCCGAGTGCAGTCTTTTGCCATGGCCCAACTCCACTGGCCGGTGAGGGTTGCAGATGGTCTACCAATGAGATGGAGGGCACATAAGCTTCGACTCCAGATTTCTCCAGTTGCAGCCGTGTTCTCCATCTCTTTCGGGGTATGACCGAGCTGGTTACAGGGTAATCCGGTGTCGGGAGGCAAGCTTTGAGCGTCAGGTTCAAGCCTCGGTCAAGCTTTAGGGCGCCGTGGCATCCGGGCGAGGATTCCAGAAAAGAGGGCCGATAAAGGCGGGATCTTGGCCGCCTTACCCAAAAGGCGCTTAGTGTCGCTGCACTCCAGGGGATCGTCTCCTCCTTATTCCTCCATCCTTTCGTCTCCCCGTGGAGTTGCCCTTGTTTCTCTGACTCACCGAATCCGCACGGTCGTGGGCCGCCCGGCCGATACGCATTTCCCCAGGCAGGATTGCCGACCCCCCGCCGGCTGTTCCATTTGCCGTGGATGCTGTCCAGCAAAACTGTTTCCCTGCCCTTGTTGGGCCGAGATGCTTCCGGTGAGCTGATTCTGGTCTAACAACAAACTAGAATCAGCCACACCGCGTTGGATTTTTTTCCCCCTGCTAGCGAGATAGATTAGCTGCTACCATTGCACCCAATAACTAGTACTCTTCCGTGGTAAGCACCTTATCTACCTATCGTGTACCACAAGAAAAGAAGGCAGAACTCAGCTGCCTTAGGAAGAACAAGCAACCGTTTTTCACCGTCAGTGTTAATATTAATAATTTGGAACCTTTGTGATTCCCAGCCGCCCTCCACCGGCTTTTAGGCTAAATGCCATCAGCCCCAAACCCCAACCCCAACTTGCGACGCCAAACAGACAAGACACTAAAATCCCCGGGCTGTTTTTTCGGAGGCTTATTCCCCACTTGCCATTGGTAAGCACTAGATACGGCACCTTCGAGTCGGTTTAGGTCCCACGGAGAACCAAAAAGCTGAGCTCCCCGGTGAATGAGTCGGTCGGTATGTCGCTCCCACCACGGTCGGCTTGCTTACGGGCATCGCTCTCATATCGGCTGTCGGCATCCTTTCCCGTCAGAACTGCCCCTCACCTAATACTATATCAACCAAGTACGGAGAACGGTGTACACAGTAGACGGTAGAGAATAGACAGTAGACAGCACGGATATAGCTGGGTATCTGGACACGCGTGGACCTTCTGCCGCACCTGGTTTGGCCGGACCTCTTCGTGGATAACGTGCAGGTGTAACAACCAATCAATCGACCTTGTCTGCTTCATCGATCATCCAGCCTCAAAGCTGATTTGTTGTGCGGTCGCTGGCGCTGCTCAGCTCTTTTTTTCGGTCACAGCTGGTCTGCCCACATTAGCATCCACTTGGCTGATGTTGACCAGGCCTCATCCGTGCCGCTCATCACTCGCACGGAATCAATTGTCCGCTGTCTACGGAGTACTCCGGGGACATGCTGGTTTCTGGGCTGCTTGAGCCATGCAGCGCGACAAGAACCTCCTCTCTCCCCGGTCGTTGTGGACGCATGGATCGTTGACCCATCTTGGCATCTGGTGGTCTCCAGACGCCGACTCAACTGGCTCTGTCCTGGTTGGCCCGGACATTGTTGTCTCGCAGAGAAGTCCGAGGTGAGCTTTTCTCGGGTTGCCTCCCTCATGGGGTGGCTGTATTTCGGAAATGAGCCGGCCCAGGGACTCCACCAGGCTAGTTGTCGCACTTTTGGAAATTTAGGTGCACAAGGAGTTGGAGACGCCTGGTATCCTTTCCATATATTGCCGTTGCTATTTGCATTCTTCGCGCGAGGTATGAAAGACCCCACGCCGATGTTGTCTGTCCTATGGTGACATAGACGTGATGGGCAGTAACTTGATAGGCCAGAGCGAACGCACGGTCTCTGCCATCATGAATGGTAGCCATGCATTGTCTGTGTCGTGTGCTGTCAGTGCTCGTGTGCGGTCCCCGCGCATTAGTGAACCTTGAGCCGTAGCGACCATCGGTCGGAGAAATTCTCCTTTGACGAGAGTTCACTGGTTTGTCCCACTAATGTGTATCATAACCTGCCAAAGGCCTGGTTTGGTGTGACACTGGGGAAAGAATCGTGAGTGCTGCCCCAGCCGGGGTGTTGTCTTTCCTGGACAGTGTATCAACGTTGAACCTACAATTCCCGACCACCAACCTGAGTGTTACATTTGTACACTGGAAGACGGGAGTTCATGGCAAGATCCTACTGACATCTGCATGGCTCGAAGCTTCATCCGCGATGGTGAAACTGTTGCAACCGGAGGGGCGTCACTCTTTCGATGAGACATAAAGCCCGAACAATAAGTTCCATCAACGGAGTTAGTCTACGGGAGAACTTAACCCCTGTTATACTGCATCCCTGGCGAAAGTCATACAGAATAGACCGCCTGTTACCAGGTTGAGGTCACAACGTCACGGTCACTGTGTATATATACAGCGCCAGACCTGCTTTATTTCAGCAATGACAAGAGACACAAGACAGAAGAAAGGACACCGACCACTAAACCAGCTACCAAAATGCGTTTCGCACTTACGGGGACCGCCATTCTGACCTATATCTCGCTTGCCACCTCGCATGTCATCAAGCGGGACATTTCCATTGTCCTTCGTGGTCTGTCCACCTTGAATGCCAATATAGGCACATTCGGTGCTTCCGTTTATCGGTACGACGGAACACTTCCCGCTGCGATCGAAATCTTCCACCAGGAGAGTAGCCTGGAGAAGGACCTCGAGGGAGTGGCGGCCGACACCAACAGCACGGCGGAGTGGACCGCCCAGGAGAGCAATAGCGTGACTGAATCCTTGGTGGGATTGGAGCCGATTATGCGAACCTCAATTGCTGCACTTGTGATGAAGGTTGGAAGCTATCCTGAAATTTGTCTTTTTTCTGCGAGATGTTCTGACGTTTTGATTTCCAGAGAGATCTCTTCATCAGCGCCGGCGTGGGCTCTGCAGTGCGGCTTAATTTGGTCAACATGAGAAGCCGGACACTTGCTCTTTCTGTGGCGCTGCAGAACAAGGCTGTCGGTGCTGATAAGGAGACCATCCGACAAGGGACCGGGGATGTGGACGATGCCTTTGACAGCGCGATTGATTCGTATGAGTCCCGGCTGTGAGCATGTCTGTGCCGCCCGTGGCTTGGTCAAAATGTCCTCGAGGCATCGACTAGGCGCCGGGAATTTTGTTCAAAATTAGCTATTCTCAATGCAAAAGCTGTTGACGTATGGTCAATTTCTTTTTTCCAGGAGAGGAGCACCGCGTAGTGGTCGGAAGTCCACATCCAGCATGTCTTGCCTTATGAGGATCCCGGATGTGATCTATCAGTTCCGCATATTCAAGCTTGGGCTTGTCACTACAAAGCTCCAACGGTTGATTTACAAAGGAGCAGGGGCCGGCGCTTAGTTAACAGCTAGTTAGCTAATTAGCTAGTTAGCATATTGATGAGCACGGATGTCTCGGCCCCCCTGCGGCCAATGAGGAGCTCAATATGGGTCTACAACACCTACTTAATGCATGCCAATGCGATAGCTACAGCTGGGTTACCAATGATTGATAGAGTTGACATTGAGCGCTCTTTTGTTCCCATCCTCGGCGATGTAGGGCGAGAGGGGAATTTGTCGAGCCGAGGTGCATCTCCCCGACACGAGCGGGGTTGGAACTTGGTACAAAGTCGCCCAGCAGGAAAAGCAATTCCCAATCCTCGATTCACCGCATTCCACTCCCCCTGAACTCGTTCTACTACCACTCACTCTCATCATGCCCTCCAACTACGCTCACCATGTGGGAAACCACGATTTTACTCGTGCCACCGTCGTGATTATCGGGGCCGGCGTATCAGGTACGGCATGATCCCCTTGCTTGTGACCCGGGAGAATCACAAACTCTCTCGCTAACAATCTCCCAGGGATATGCATGGCCATCGACCTCCTCCGTCGAACCCCCATCCGGAAGTTCGTCATACTCGAGCAGGGAAGCGCCGTAGGAGGAACCTGGGCCAACAATCTCTACCCGGGCTGTGCCTGCGATGGTCAGAAGCGACCGGTCCAACATGGTGGCGCGTATAGATAGCTAACAGCCGTGTAGTCTGGAGCGCCCTGTACAGCTATTCATTTGAGCAGCGTCCCGACTGGACGGCAGAGTATCCGGCGCAGGAAGAGTTTCTGGTAATTCCGTCTTGCTTTCAACGCATATACGATGCTGACGCACCTGTAGGCATACCTCACGGATATTGCTCAGAAACACGGCCTCTATCAATACATCCGGTTCAACTCGACCGTACAGGAAGCCCGATGGGACGACCAGCAACAGCAATGGAAGGTCCAGGTGGCCCTGAATGGCACCAAGGCTAGTGAATTTCATGAGGAATACGAACTCACCACAGACTTTCTGGTATCCGCCGTCGGACAACTCAATGTGCCCAGCTATCCCTCCATTCCGGGTCTGGATGATTTTACCGGCAAATTAATTCACTCAGCCAGATGGGACTGGACCTACGACTTCTCCGGCAAACGAATTGCCGTGATCGGAAATGGTATTGACTCCATTCCCACTAGAACAACTCATTATCATATACTGACAGCCGTGACAGGCGCCTCGGCAATCCAGATTGTCCCTGAAATAGCCAAAACCGCCTCTCATATAACCATCTACCAACGCAGTCCGAAATGGGTCGTTCCTCGCTTTAACAAGCCGGTCGGCGCTTTCCAGCAGTTCCTACTGTCATATGTACCACCCGTGCGCTGGTGCAAGAGAGTCCTGCAGATGCGTTTTCGAGAATGGTCATACAATGTTCTTGTCACACCCGGCACAGTCCCGGCCCGC